TCTAGGGGATCACCTGAAGGCTGGGGGTGAGGGTGGGGACCGGGTGGGGTAGACCAAGGTCCCAGAGACTGACCACAGAGACCAAAGACGCAGGGGAAAGAGATGAAGGCAAAATAGAAGGGTGGTGAACCCAGATTTCACCTTTGGAGAATCGTTTCATGACCATTCCTTTTTTCCTTTTAAAAAAAATATATATTTTATTGATTTTTCACAGAGAGGAAGGGAAAGGGATAGAGAGCTAGAAACATCGATGAGAGAGAAACATCCATCAGCCGTCTCCTGCACCCCCCCCCCCCCCCACTGGGGATGTGCCCGCAACCAAAGTACAAGCCCCTGACCGGAATCGAACCCGGGACCCTTCAGTCCGCAGGCCGACCGACGCTCTATCCACTGAGCCAAACTGGTTTCGGCAGGATCCTCCACTTATTACTGGGTGAGTCTCATGTTCCCACACGGCCGCTGTGGGAGATCAGGTGACCTACTCCTCCCAGGTGGCCTTGGGACTTTCCAGGTTTTACAGGAGAAAAGTCCCACATCCCGGGAATCCAGGAAAACCCGGATGGTAGCTCACCCAAGGCTCCGGTTTCCTCGCGTCCATCTGCCCTTGACCTCAGGAGGCCACGGGGAGGACCAGGTCGGTGCAGGCCTGTGGCCATGCTCTTCTGCACTCCGCCTCGGTTCCTGCTTCCCAGTCCCCCCCCTCCCCCTGCACCGTGCCCACTGGGTGAAGCAGCAGGCAGAGCTGTGGGAGCGGGTGAACTGTCTGTCCTGGCACCCGTGGGGGCAGCGGGCACCCCCTACCTGGGCAGAAGACAAGCTGAGGACGTCTGGTCCACTTTCCCGGGAGGAGAAGCTCATCTGGAGAGGAAAGAACAACAGCTGTCACATCTGGCTGCGCTGGAGTGAGGTCCGGGCCGCACCCCGCCCGCCCCTCCCCTCAGGCTGGGACGTCGGCGCGGCTGTGCGTGTATTACGCCGGAGAGTCTGTGCTGCAATACTGGACGCAGGACCCGTAGACCTCGTCCTGGTAAGGCACTTCCTATCTAATAAAAGAGTAATATGCAAATTGACCATCACTCCAACACACAAGATGGCTGCCCCCATGTGGACACAAGATGGCCACCGCAAGAGGGAGGGCAGTTGGGGGTGACCAGGCCAGCAGAGGAAGGAAGTTGGAGGCAAATGGGCTTGCAGGGGAGGGCAATTAAGGGCAATCAGGACAGTGGGGGAGCAGTTAGGCGTTGATCAGGCCGGCAGGGGAGGGCAGTTAGGGGCAAACAGGTTGGCAGGGGAGCAGTTAGACATCAATCAGGCTGGCAGAGGAGTAGTTAGGGGGTGATCGGGCTGGCAGGCAGAAGTGATTAGGGGCAACCAGGAAGGCAGGCAGGCGAGCAGCTGGGAGCCAGCAGTCCTGTATTGTGAGAGGGATGTTCCAGATTGGAGAGGGTGCAGGCTGGGCTGAGGGACACCCCCCCCCCCCAGACCCCCATGCACAAGTTTTGTGCACTGGGTCTCTAGTTTTTAATATAAGACATCTTGTTCCCTCTGGGCCTCAGCTTCCTCATCTGTGCACTGGGGATAATAAGCCTCTTTGTGAGCTGGACAAGGGGAAACAGGCCAGGTTTGTTTGCCTGTGGTTTGCTCCTGAGGGTGCAGAGTTGGGCGTCAGGGGAGGAAGTGGGGAGAGGAGAACAATGGGCCCTCCGAGCCGGCTGCCTCCCTGCGACCCCGGCCCCAGAGTCTCAGGGAATCAGCCAGCTGGGAAGGCCCTGGCTCTCCCGCTGCTAGTTCCCAGTGGGAGAGGGGGGACCGGGGGGATGGGGGCAGAAAAAGGGGAGCTACTCCGGCCAGCAGCAGCCGGGCCCCTGGACTCAGTCAGGGTCTGGGTGAGAAGATGCCCATTCAGATAGTGGATCTAGGTCCGATGTGTTGTTGCTCTATTCATAACGATGACATTTATTTATTTTTTATTTTTAAAAATATATATTTTATTGATTTTTTTACAGAGAGGAAAGGAGAGGGATAGAGAGTTAGAAACATCGATGAGAGAGAATCATCCATCAGCTGCCTCTTGCACATCCTCCTACTGGGGATGTGCCCGAAACCAAGGTACATGCCCTTGACCGGAATCGAACCTGGGACCTTTGAGTCCTCAGGCTGAGGCTCTATCCACGGAGCCAAACCGGTTTCGGCAATAACGATATTTACTGCCAGATACTGCGCTACAACCCATTTATCCCTAACAACAACGTCATGAAAGATACTGTTGTTGTCATTCCCGCTTTCCACGTGGGGAAACTGAGGCAGGCAAAGGCTGCCGATGTTATAAAACTAGTAAGTGGAGGAACCAGGTTTCGGGTTCAGGCAGCCTGGCTCCAGTGCCCATGATCCTAACCTAACCATTGCCCAGAACTGCCTTTTCCTGCTGCCAGCCAGTGAGTGCTGCCCTTCCCCAGACCCCATCGCCGGGAGGGCCTGGCCCCTGTGCCCTCCCTGCCCTGGGTAAACCTTTCCCTTGGCTTTCAGCGACAGGAAAAGGATCAAGGCCAGGAGCTATGGCAAGAACCCACGGACAGCCGAAACCGGTGTGGCTCAGTGGATAGAGCGTCGGTGTGTGGACTGAAGGGTCCAGGGTTCGATTCGGGTCAAGGGCATGTACATTGGTACCAGTAGGGGGTGTGCAAGAGGCAGCTGAGCGATGATTCTCTCTCATCGATGTTTCTAACTCTCTATCCTTCTCCCTTCCTCTCCGTAAAAAAATCAATAAAATATATTAAAAAAAAAAAAAAAGAACTCAGGGACAGACATCCCCATCTCTGGCACCGCCTGAGAATGCTGCCCACCTATCAGGGCCCCTTGCTAGAGGCCCGAGTGCTTTCTCCTCGCCCTGAATGGTTGAGTGGCCCTGAGATTGGGGGTGGGGGTGGGGGTGGCAGGCAGTCCCTGGGATCCAGGACCCTCTCTTTCCTCCAGAGGCCTCTGCAGGACCTCAACGCAGTGGGGTCCTGTCACTGACATGTCTTGTGGGCCTTTCGTGTCAGCCCTGGGCTCTGTGGCTGTGCTCTGACCCGGATTCCAGCCCCTCCCGCCCCATTTCAGTCTCATCCTGGACAAAGGGCTCCTGTGTGAGAGGCAAGGTTTTGGGGTCAGTGCTCCCTGCTGGCAGCCTGGCCGGCCACCTTCAGTTAGAAAAAGGGCTGGGGCCGAAACCGGTGTGGCTCAGTGGATAGAGCATCGGCCTGCGGACTGATTTGATTCCAGGTTTGATTCCGGTCAAGGGCATGTACCTTGGTTGCGGGCATATCCCCCGTAGGGGATTTTTTTACAGGGAGAGGAAGGGAGAGAAATAGAGTTAGAAACATCGATTAGAGAGAAACATTGATCAGCTGCTTCCTGCACGCCCCCTACTGGGCCTGCAACCAAGGTACATGCCCTTGACTAGAATCGAACCTGGGACCCTTCAGTCTGCAGGCTGATGCCCTATCCACTGAGCCACACCGGTTATGGCTAGACTGTGCTTTCTTTAATCAGAACAGAACCATCACGATTAACAGGGCATGTTTAATATATTTTTAAAAATAAATAACAGAGGCCTGGTGCACAAAATTTGTGCACTGGGAGGGATGTCTCTCAGCCGGGAGCCCTCTTGCAGTCCGGGAGCCATCAGTCAGACATCCTTAGGGCTGCTTAGTTCCCAGCCTCCACTCCATGCTCACCAGCCCTGGGGAGCTGGCTGGGCGGTGCTCCCCTCATGGGAGCGCACTGACTACACCAGAGGCAGCTCTTGCATCGAGCGGTCTGCCCCCTGGTGGGCAGTGTGCATCATAGCCACCAGTCATTCCCTTCTGCCCATTTGCATATTAGCCATTTATTATGTAGGAGGGAGGATAGCTAGTCCCCAATATTCTATTTCTGCCCCTGACATATTCAGTCCCTCCCTTGGCAAAGGGACGAGCGAGCCACCAGCAGTTAAGAGTCCAGAACACGCCGAAACCAGTTTGGCTCAGTGGTAGAGCGTTGGTCTGAGGACTGAAGGGTCCCAGGTTCGATTTCAGTCAAGGGCATGCACCTTGGTTGTGGGCACATCCCCAGTAGGGAACGTGCAAGAGGCAGCTGATCAATGATTCTCTCTCATTGATGTTTCTAACTCTCTATCCCTCTGTAAAAAATCAATAATATATATATATTTTTTTTTCTTTTTTTTTTCTTAAGAATCCAGAACAACCTGGTGCTTAGGGGCGCCTGCTGACACCATGCACAGGCAACGGTAAGTGATGGACATTCTTTTTTTTTTTCCTCACCCAAATTGATTCCTTCCATTAATTCTGAGAGAGTGGGAAGGGGCGGGGGGAGAGAAAGAAACATCCACGTTGAGACACATCAGATGGGTTGCCTGCCACACGCGCCCCAACCAGGGTCTGCAACCTGCAACCCAGGCAGGTAGGTGCCCTTTGACCCGGAACCCAACCCGCGGCCCCTTAGGTGCGCGGGCCGGCGGCGTTCTCACCACTGAGCTCACTGGCCAGCGGTGGGCATTCCTCCAGCAGCACCTGGGGCGACACGATACCCCAAACACAGAGAACCCAAAAGCGAGGGGCCGCCGAGGGGAAGGGGTAGCCCCGAGAGACCGAGGGCGTTTTTTTGAGGTGACGGAGTCTCCGAGCCTCTCCGCCAGGCCCCGCGGAATGGCTCCGGCCCTCTCCCCACGCCTCGCACCCGGCGACATGACCTCCTGTCCGGCTGTCCCTCTGTCCGAGCCTCGGGGGGTGACACTGGGTGACACTGGCGCGCCTCAGGAGGAGCGCCGCCTGCTCCTCCCATCTGAGTTCCCGCGCGCCCGCGTCGTCCTCTACGTCATCACGCTGTGGCGTGGGGGACGGGACTTCCGCCCCACGACCCGGAAGCGGGGAGGACTCTTTTCCGTCGTAAAGAAACTGGACTCGTGGTGGAGGTCAGGTACGGGGAGTAAGGCCGCTGTCTGGCCACTCGGCGGGGCGGGTGACAGCGGGTTTCAGGGGGTGCGGCGGGGACCCCGAGTTTAGGGGGAGCGGTTGGCGACACCAGCGAGCCTCCTAACTCATCCTAACTCCCATGGCGCTCAGCCGGCTCGCCCTCTTTTGAAAAAAAGGGCGGGTAGCGGTGGTGGGGAGAGACGTGGAAGGGAGAAGGGCACGGAGTCAAGTTTAATTTTAAAAACTCAGTCGATGGGCTTCATATCAGGGATTCCCTGTGTCGCATAAGGGATGTAACGGGAGGGCCTGCAGGGACCCGGATCTTCTGAATCTGTGACTTCTCCAGGCGTCAGCATCTGCTGCATTCGTTTGGACGAGGAAGAGGAGGGCCATCTGGGTGCCTAGGGAGTCTGTGGCCGGTTTCTGAACTGTAAGTTGTACATAAGACGGTGTCCGGTGTCTTATACCTTTCTCCTTAGCTCTGAGCTTACTTACTTTCGGATGGTGCTTCTCGTGTGTGTGTGTTTTAAATCTCACCGTCCCTCTCCCCCTTAACTGGATGGGATATGAAAGGAAGTGCGAGGGTAGGAATCTTTCTCAGTGGCAGAGTGGTAGGACAGATTTACCAAGAAGTAATGTGTATACTCAGTAAGTCTGCCTCCCCGAAAAACTAAGTTCCTGCTTTGTTAGAAAGCACTCCTGGGGTGCCCGGCTGGCATGGCTCGTTGACATATGAACCAGGAGGTCAGGGTTCGATTCCTGGTCAGGGCGCATGCCCGGGTTGTAGGCTCGATCCCTAGTGTGGGTGTGCAGGAGGCAGCCGATCCATGATTCTCTATCATTGATGTTTCTCTCTCTCTCCCTCTCCTTTCCTCGCTGAAATATAAAACACACACACACACACACACACACACACACTGGGGTCTAGCTGGTTTGGCTCAATGGATAAAGCGTCAGCCTGTGGACTGAAGGGTCCCGGGTTCAATTCCAGTCAGGGCACATGCCTGGGTTTTGGGGCTCGATCCCCAGTAGGGGGCGTGCAGGAGGCAGCCAATCAATGATTCTCTCTCATTATTGATGTTTCTAGCTCTCTCCCCCTCTCCCTTCCTCTCTGAAATCAATTAATATATATATGGAAAAAATATATATATGTGTGTGTATATATTTTTTAAAGCACACTGGGGAAACCTCAAATTTGTTTGGTGGATGCATTATATTCTTGCCTCCAATCCAGTCTGTTTGAATCTAACAGCATCTCCTACGCTCCTTTTAAAGAAGAGACTCCCATCTGGGCTTAGGAATGAGCACGAGGGGCAGCAAGATGAGGGTCCACGCTCATACTACAAAGAAACGATGCTACCTGGCTGGAATTTTCTTTCCAAATCCTAAATTCTTTATCTTGCATTTAGATTCATTAACCACTGATTGCAGCGAAGCAGGCATATATAAGAGTTCAGGCCTCTTAAATAAGCTTGAACAGAATAGATGGCCATTCCATTAAAATCTTGACATGCCAGAAGTGTGTTTTAAAAGCTGGACTTGGTGGTGTTCTTCTGGAGACTAAGAAAACAGAGTCCTTGAAGTCAAGCTGACTCACCTTTTAGCCTCCTAAATTGAAAGGTAGATAGAACAGGTCTTGTTTGCAAAGTAAATTCGAGACCTACTGATCTACCAACAGCAATTATGCACTTTCCATTGCCTTACCATAAGACAGCAATGGTGCCCTAATCAGTTTGTCTCAGTGGATAGTCAGCCTACGACTAAAGGGTCCCAGGTTCGATTCAGGTCAAGGGCATGTGTCTTGGTTGCAGGCACATCCCCAGTGGGGGTGTGCAAGAGGCAGCTGATAGATGTTTCTCCCTCATTGATGTTTCTGACTCTCTATCCCTCTCCCTTCCTCTCTGTAAAAAAGTAATGTTTTTTTGTTTTTTTTTTAAAAAGATAGCAATGGTAAGTTTATAGATTAGAAAGGGTGGTAAAGACAGGCTGAACCCAGGAGAATCTACTGTACTCATTGATAGGAAGTGATCAGAAATTGGAGACATTTAAGAAAGGGGGAGAGGACCTTTCCTGTAATGTAGTATTGAGTGTGTCCAGGAAGTTTTCTGGCAGCTAAACCTCCCTGGACAGAGACCCACATGTCCATGCAGTTGCTCTGCTTCAGAAGTATTTTATTGGATGTGCACAAGTGATTACATATCATTTGAACCTGCAGGAAGTCACTATTAAGCATCCACTTTTCCAAATAAAAGGTAATTTAATTATACCAGAAACCAGTGTCATTTTATGTGCCAAGTCTAACTTTCCAATCCCAGGTAATAGGGTGCCGTACATTCTGAATCACCAAGCCCACGTTAGTTTATAACCAAGATTCTGTGCTTTTCCCCACATTCTTTCTCTTTTGTTGATGGAAGCCAAAGCTTATGTTAATAAACTACTCAGGAGTTATAAAGTGACAAAGGGAAAGCCAAGAAAAGAACAGATTTTGATGTCTTTTATTTTAACTACCCAGTGTCAGGAATTGTGGCTACAGTGGTCTGGCTTTTTTTAAATCTTTTTTTTTTTTTTTTAACAGGTTGCAGGTGAACATGGCCTTGAGGTAAATCCTGCCCCTTGTTGAAGTCTAGTCTCAGCAGATTATTCCTGGCTAACACGGAATTGGAATATTTTACAAGAAACTAAAGTTTTTTTTTGTTTGTTTTTTTTTGTTTTTTAAATATATTTTTATTGATTTTGTACAGAGAGGAAGGGAGAGAGATAGAGAGCTAGAAACATCGATGAGAGAGAGTCATCGATCAGCTGCCTCTTGCACACCCCCCACTTGGGATATGCCCGCAACCAAGGTACATGCCCTTGACCGGAATCGAACCCGGGACCTCTCAGTCCCCAAGCCGACGCTCTATCCATTGAGCCAAACCGGTTTCGGCAAGAAACTAAAGTTTTATTTAGCTTCTGTCCTAGACTTAATTTTCCTTCTTGTAGAAGATGAGAAACAGTTTAAACAAATATTTTTTGTGGTAAAATAATTATGATGCTTAAATTAAATGGATTTTAAGTGTCAAAGCCACTTGTAGATGGTTTTATTCTTGGTCAAATAAAATTTTACAAAATTCTGGGTGTTAAGGTTTTATCCTTTTTAACCATGTTCGCATTGTTTGTGAAGTACACCATAAAACCTACAAGAACCCTGAATTCCACCGACCTTATCTGTGATGTCCTACTTCCTACTCCATAGTTTTTGTTGCAGTAGCTAAGAACATTTTTCAGTATACACATTATACAGACACACACACACACACACACACACACACACACACACACACTGGTTAAAAGGCTAAGCGAATGGCCAGTCAGCCAGTAGGTATGATGTGCACTGACCACCAGGGGGCAGACGCTGAACGCAGGAACTGCTGAGTGGCAGCAACTTTGCAGAGTGCCCTCTCGCACTCCCCTCGGAGGATGTTGGGAGGGCTGGTTTCACCTGAACCCTACAGGTCAGGCCATGGGACCCCACCTGCTGGAGGGGGGCCCCCTCGCCCCCACACAAACACACACACACTCCTCAGACATCCTTCGAACGGTGCCACAGCCCCAAGTGTGGCCGGCCAGGGAGGGACCACTGGCCATGGGAGGTTGGCTCCAGGGCGTGTCCAGCCTGTCTCACCCTGCCCTGCTGGCCACCTTCATTAATTTCCTTTCCGTGTGCATGAATCTGTGCACCGGGCCACTAGTTATAATTATTGACAGCTTGAAGCATCTCGGTGCCTTCCATGATTTAGGACAGGACAGGTGTGTGTGTGTGTATAAAGGTGAGTTGTTCATTTAGAAATCTGAGCTGCTGTTTATAACAAGGCAGAGTTGAGATAGATGAGACTTGGAGCGAGCTGGAAAACACGAATGGTCTGGCTCAATGGACAGAGTGAAGTCATGCAGTCTGAAGGGTCCCCTGTTCAATTCCGGTCAAGGGCACATGCTCGGTTGCAGGATCGATCCCCACTCTTATCATTGATGTTTCTCCTCCTCCCTTCTCGAAATAAATTTAAAAATATATTTAAAAATTAAAATAAGAGTGTAGTTTGGAGAAACTGCAAACACAGCGCTGCTAACTACTGGGAAAATGAGAGGACACACGGCTTCCGGTTCTCTGTGGACGCCTGCCTTCTCAGGTCTTTTTATTTAAATATATTTTATTGATTTTTTACAGAGAGGAAGGGAGAGAGATAGCTAGAAACGTCGATGAGAGAGAAACATTGACCAGCTGCCTCTTGCACACCCCCTACCGGGGATGTGCCTGCAACCAAGGTACATGCCCTTGACCGGAATCGAACCCGGGACCCTTCAGTCCGCAGACCGACGCTCTACCACTGAGCCAAACCAGTTTCGGCCTTCTCAGGTCTATTCTTGGCTGGCTAATGAGATGTCACGCGTGAGCAGGGGCTGCTGCTGGCCACGGACACTCCTGCGTCTCTCCCCCAGACCGCCAAGCTCTGTAGGCCTTGGGGACTCAGATACTTTGCCTGAACGCAAACAAACCAACACAAGTTGACCAACTAAAGAACTGCTGAGTTTATTTAGCCTGAGCCCTCGCTTCACAGCCGGGCCTGGTAATGACTAACAGCACGAATCCAAGCTGTGCTGGGTGCCCGGTGCTTGAGTGCTGAGGCGGGAGTGGCTGGGGGAGGGTGGGCACCAGCACTTCCTAGTAGAGAGCCACGTGCTTTGGCACCGGAATGCCATTGTGTATCTTTAGACGCCCCGGCTTTTCCAGAGAAAGACAGGGGTGCACAAACTGGGGAAGCTGACAGCTAAAGGTGTAGAGGTGCTGAGAAATGTCCACGTTGAAAAAGGATAATGTGGAGTTTTCATAGTCTAACAGAATGCCAATCTTCTTAGGGGGGACTGTGATTCTTATATCTGGGGTCGTCTTGTTGTGCAGAAATTCATACTTGTGCCTAAAATGCATACAAACAGATTTTCAGAAATCCTGTAGATGAGCTGATTTCAGAACATTTTATGTAGCTTTATTTAAATACTCCTATGGCCCTAACTGGTTTGGCTCAATGGATAGAGGGTCGGCCTGCGGACTGAAAGGTCCCGGGTTCGATTCCAGTGGGGAGTGTGTAAGAGGCAGCTGAATCGATGTTTCTCTCTCATTGATGTTACTAACTCTCTATCCCTCTCCTTTCCTCTTTGTTAAAAAAAATCAATAAAATAGCCCAAACCGGTTTGGCTCAATGGATAGAGTGTCGGCCTGCAGACTGAAAGGTCCCGGGTTCGATTCTGGTCAAGGGCATGGACCTTGGTTGCGGGCACATCCCCAGTAGGGGGTGTGCAAGAGGCAGCTGATCGATGCTTCTCTCTCATCGATGTTTCTAGCTCTCTATCCCTCTCTCTTCCTCTCTGTAAAAAATCAATAAAATATATATATATTAAAAAAAAAACAAAACAAAAAAAAACAGGACATCTGGGGCCTGTCACCGGTCAGCGTGACACAGCTCCAGCTGTGTCCTGTGGACTTTGAAACCGGCTGAAACCAAGACCAAGCACAGGAACCCCCTAACCCTGCCACCAGCAGACCTTTGAAGAGCTGTGTACCAACATGCTGGTCCATGCGACTGGGAGGGGACGCTCAGAGTACAACCCAGACGTGTCAGCGGGCTGGAAGCGAGCCCTGCAATGTCTGAGGCTTTTATAACATGCACTGCAGGCCTCACTCTGTGTGCGGAGACCTCTCCCTCTATCCGTCCAGAGCCAAGGCCGGCCGCGGGCATCCGGCTGCGCTTTACCTGGGTGCCGCCCACGTGTGCCTCATGCACCAGGACAGGCGGTTCGCTCCCAGGTCCTCCTGCTTGGGGACGTCTTCAGAGGCCACGCCCACCGTGTAGTCCGACCGCTCGTCCACCTCCACCTCCCAGTAGTGGCGCCCTCGGACCGGGATCAGGTTGCCCATGACAGCCACGCACCTGCATGTGCAAAGCAGAGATATTTACCACCATGTGCCCACCACCCAGAACTGAAATACCATGGCTGACGTGTACACAGAAGGAACTGTTTGACATTGAAATCGGGTCTCAAAAGAACTGGTGGCCCAGAAAGAAACTCACTACAGACTGATTCATATGCCTCTCAGCATAATCATTATTGCTTGTCTCATTTTTTTATTCTTATATTTCCAGTAGGACATGATCTCACTCATCCAGGGGAAATGGTGAACAACATAGACGGATGAACAAGAACAGACCCAGAGAGAAGGAGCCATGGGTCAGACTGTCGGACCTCAGAGGGAGGGTGGGGATAAAAGGGAGAGATCAGCCAAAGGGATTGTGTGCACACATATGAGCCTAACCAGAGGTCAGGGACAATAGGGGGTTGGGGGATTGGAATGGGGGGTTGAGAACAAATATGTGATTCCTTAATCAATAAAAAAATTTTTTTTAAAAGTGGATACACATGGGATTTGAGGTGGTCCCAGCCTGGCCGTGTGGGTGGGTGACATGACCGTCGGGTGAGCCAGCAGCTGGTCTATGCAAGTGGAGGCGGTGTGAACTCCTCGCCCGTACAGCGGACACCCTGAGCTCTCCAGCCTGGCTGATGCTAGAGGTGGTTCCTTTCTCCCCCTGCCTGACAGCGTGACCCTCATGCCAGAACTTGGTGGGTGGCCTCCTCCAGGTGAAAGGGCAGAGCAAGGCTATTGAACAGAGCTTCCCTTTTTGTTGAAGAGCCAGCCCTATGTGCACTAAGCGGTTATCTCGATGCTGGCCTTGAAAACAACCCAGTTCTATCCAATTGAAAAGTGCACCTAGCATGGCATTGAGATGATGGGCACATCTAGTCTATAGCCTTCAAGGTCACACAGCTGAGTTTATCTTCAAACAGGCTAACGCAGGCTAGAAAGCAAACATTTTTTAAACAGGTTTTGTTTTTTTTGTTTTTTTTACAAAACAGTTCCAGCTGCCTAACACACCCTTAAATCAGCCAATAGGAATGCAGAAGGCCAAATCAGCTAACTGCATCCAGCCACCTGTGTGACTGGCCCCTGGCCCTCACCCACCACCCAACCCTAAGCCCTACAGAGAAGCTGTACTTCGGAGCTCGGGGCGCTGTGCATCCTGCCGCTGTGTCGGGAGAGGCGGAGAGACCGGGCTTGGGCTTGAATAAAGGCTCTTTGCTTTTGCATCGCACTCGGCTCCCTGGTGTTCTTTGGGGATCTCGAAATCCGGGCATAGCACAGGTCCTGCAGCCCAGGGCAGGACCTCCGAGGCCACGACAGGTCTCTGCTGCCCCCACCAGCCTCGCCGCCTCACCACCAGCCCCACTAGTCCCTGTCTCCGGGGTTTCCTTCCCCCTTCAAGGTGGCCTCTGCCTTAATCCAGTTTTCCTGAGTTAACAGCGCAGACTGGGGAGGTTCACAGCGCACTCCGGTGAGCGGTGGAAACAGGACCCACCTGGAAAAGCGGGTGCTTCTGGGGGGCGGCTCCCTCGTGGGGGCCTTCCTCTCGCTCCGGACGGCCGTCAGCCCGTCTTCGGAAATGGCCAGCCAGGGGTGGCAGGTCTGCTCGTCCAGGCGGAAGTAGCTGCCTGGAGGGGAGCAAACCCAGGGTGGGAGGGTGTCAGCAGCCGGTCACTCCTTTCTCTGCATCACCGCCACCCGATGAGCTCCCCGCACATCGCCCACTTAGCTTCCGGGGCGTTCCCTCCCCTGGACCTCATGTGACCACCCTTGTGCTCATAGGAATGGCAGAGGTGCCTCGTTAATGCAGTAGGTGCCAGTCTCCTGATGGGGATGGCAGCTCCCTGCTTCTGCTTCTCACGGGCGCGTGACCAACCGCCTGAGCTGGACCTGCCCGGGGAGGGACGTGCAAAGCTCAGCACCAGAGCCACGGCGGCGAGGGACAGCCAGAGCGCAGAACGTCTCCGACGCCGTCCCTGCCGACTCAAGACTTGGACGTGAGATGTGACAATCTGACGACACGATGGTGGCAAGTGAGAAGGGGGAGGAGCTGGACGTGGGGATGTGGGCCCCCAACGGGGCCCGAGAGGGCCTGGGAGGAGGTGGATGGCCAGGTCTCAGGGGGCCTGAGGGTGGGGAGATGACCCACAGCAAAGGGCTCCTCCTGGAATGTCAGACAGACCTGCCCTGGGGTGGGGTGGGGTGCTCAGGCTGTGAGACAGGTGGTGTCTGGGCCACCCAGGTCCAGAGTGACAAGGCCCTAGTCCACCTGAGGAGCGTGGGGGAAAACCTGGAGTTCTAATGCTCGCTCCGGCAAGACCTGCCGTGCGACTCAGGCCTCAGTCTCCCCACCTGTACAGTGAGGCTGCCCTGACCGGGTCTGGGCCCCTCCCAGCCTGGCTAGCCACGTGTTCCCGTCTGCGAGCCTGTGCTTATTCTCGCGCGAAGCCTGGGCAGCACTGGCTGTCGGCGGGGCGCGGACCTGTGGTGTGCACCGTGGCGGGCTCGCTCCTGGCGCTGGGGCCCCCCACGTTGAGGGCGCGCACGTAGATGGCGTAGCTCTGCCGGGGCTGCAGCTGCACCAGGGCCTCGCAGGTGGGGACGCCCACGACGGACCTGGGCGGGGAAGCAGAGCGGCGTCACCGCGAGCCCACGCACCGGCCTCCCCTTCTTGTCGTGTTTTTTCTCTCAGTCTCCACGGAGACGTCAAAAATTGCCGGTGCCGACGGTATGTCAAGCCGTCACGGCGGGCACTGGGAAAAGGTTTGTTAGCAGTGATCGCGCCTCCGAAAACCTCTCTGGCCGCGATACCGCCCCTGCGCAGAGCTCAGGCCCCCTTTCAACCCGGGGGATCCCCGGTTCCCGCACAGCCCCCCCCCCGGCGCGGACACCTGGACACTGCGCTCCAGCCCGAGTCTGCCTCATGCCGTCCTCCTCCCCGCTTTCCGCCCAGCAGGGTGGGTTTTAGCTCCGCCTCACACCGAGCCATACCGTCCTCACACCCATGGTTCTCAGACCCCAGTCCCTCCCCTCCCTCAGGTCTCAGCTTAATCATCTGCTGGATCCTGAGGCGTTTTCCACCTTCACCCCAGTCCTGTGTCACTATATTCCTTTCTCATCAGAGACCAACGTATGCACTTGTTTTTATTTCTTGTCTGCTTTCCCCCCTCAACTGCCAGATCCTGAAGGGGGCAGGGCCCTGGCACCACCAGGGCCCGTGTACTTGTTGAACGAATGAATGAATGAATGAATGAATGAAAAATCTTTGGGCTCCAATAGCAAACCTGAGGCTCAACGACTTATTCACTTAGCGCTCACTCATCGTTCACCTCCGGAAACGCATTCCCGCTACTTCTCACTGAGCACATCCTGAGGGGCACCGGTTCTGACCTCCACTGCAGCCCCCACACACTTTCCGGGCGGCCGTGTCTCCGTGTGTCGGTCGGGGTGAGGCCTCTCGTGCCCAGGAGGTGCCCCCGCCTCCCCCCATGGGACTCACTCCGTCACGCCCGCGGCTCCCGGCGCCTCCGCCTGGGTCAGCTCCACCGTGTAGGAGTCCACGGGGTTCAGGTTGCCGGACTCCCAGCGGATCAGCGCCGCCTCCTCGCAGCTCCGCACCTCCTTGCTCTTTATGACGGGGGGAGATGGGGCTAGAGGCGAGGAGAGGGGGGGAGGTGAGCCGCCGTTCTGTCCACACCCGGCCTCGCCACCACACTTTCCACAAGATAGTCGGGACAATTGCATGCGAGACTGTGTGTACTGCCGGGACCGGTGTGGCTCAGTGGATAGAGCGTCGGCCTGCGGACTGGAAGGTCCCGGGTTCGATTACGGGCAAGGGCATGGACCTTGGTTGCGGGCACATCCCAGGTAGGGGGTGTGCAAGAGGCAGCTGATCGATGATTCTCTCTCATCGATGTTTCTAACTCTCTAACCCTCTCTCTTCTACTCTGTGAAAAATCAATAAAATATATTAAAAAAAAAAAAAAAAAAAAAAGACTGTGTGTACCCCACAAACTCCTATGCTGAGACCTCCCCAGCATGTGGAGTCTTGGGGGGAAGGGGTGATCATGAGGTTCGAGGGGATTATTTTTTTTAATATAATTTAATGATTTTTAAAAATATATATATTTTATTGATTTTTTTTTTTTTACAGAGAGGAAGGGAGAGGGATAGAGAGCTAGAAACATCGATGAGAGAGAAACATCAACCAGCTGCTTCCTGCACGCTCCTTACTGGGGATGTGGCAGCAACCAAGCTACATGCCCCCGACCAGAATCGAACCTGGGACCCTTCAGTCTGCAGGCTGACGCTCTATCCACTGAGTCAAACTGGTTTCAGCAGGAGCAGTGTTTTTGACCTTTTGAGACCAACTACAAGGTGTCGGGCATGCGGATTTGGTGTACGGGATAAAAGGAAAGAAATACACAGCTACTCCCGTCCATCCCAAAGCCATCGAGATCGCCCGCACTAAGGAAGCCGCGACCGTGTGCTGGAAGGAACGGGGCCGGTACCTGTCATGTACACCGCACGCTCGCTGGCGGGGCTGAGGCCGGCCCTGTTCTGAGCCGTGACCCGGAACTCGTACTGCGTGTTTGGCTCAAGGTTTGCCACCGAGCAGTATGTTTCTTTGACGGTCACTGTAGACTCTGGAGAGAAGAGAAACAAGGATTCAACCCTCAGACAGGCCGAGCGATTCCTGTTCACTGTGCCCTCCCGCCTCCCTGCTGAAACCCACTCTTACTTTCCCGATGCTGGGCAGAACCCTGCTCGCCGTCAGCACTCGGACCCTTTTCTGCGTGGCCTGGCGCAGTGGCCAGGGCTCTGGGCGGGAGCCTGTGGACCCGATTCTCATCCTGGTGCCACTGTAATGCACGCTGTCTCCATGGACAGCTCATTTCTCTCTCTCTCTCTCTCTCTCTTAAAATATTTTATTGATTTTTCACAGAGAGGAAGGGAGAGGGATAGAGAGTTAGAAACATCGATGAGAGAGAAACATCCATCAGCTGCCTCCTGCATGGCCACCACTGGGGATGTGCCCGCAACCAAGGCACATGCCCTTGACCGGAATCGAACCCGGGACCCTTCAGTCTGCGGGTCGACGCTCTATCCACTGAGCCACACCGGCTTTGGCCCAAATTGCCTTTAGAGCCCCCTTCTACCCGCTCTACTTGCCGGCCTCACATCGTCTGGGTAGTTCCCAGGCGGCGACCGCTCCAAGGCCTGGGTGGGCAGTCATCCCATCCCATCCCCGGCTCCGGCCGCCAGGGGGGGCCCCTGATGGCTCCCGGCGGGGCCTCACCTGTGTGGTCCGTCCCGGGCGAGCCGTCCCGCACCGGCCGGTAGGACAGCTGGTAGCTCTCCACGGTGTCGTCGGAGAACAAGCTCCAGCACACGCGGACCGAGGAGCCCGTGGCTGAGCTGGGGGCCTGCGGGTTTATCACCGGGGCAGAGGGAGCTAGGAAAGGAGGCGGGAGGAAGAGGAACGGTGACGAGGGGGCTTACGGAGATGGGATTGGGGGGGGGGGCCCTCTCGCTGATCCCCCAGTGCGCCCATGGACTCGGGAAATGGAGAGGGACCCAGGGTGGACAAGGATAGAGGCCAAACCTCCCAACCACATGTTTTCTTTTCTTTTTTTTAAAAATATATTTTATTGATTTTTCTCAGAGAGGAACGGAGAGGGATAGAGAGCTAGAAATGTCGATGAGAGAGAAACATCGACCAGCTGCCTCCTGCACACCCCCTACTGGGGACGTGCCCGCAACCAAGGTACGTGCCCTTGACCGGAATCGAACCAGGGGCCTTTCAGTCCGCAGACTGACGCTCTATCCACTGAGCCACAGGTTTTCTAAATCTTTTGTGTTATTTCTAGCCATCCACGTTTCTACCTCGACGCTCAGGGAGACCGGATGTGCCGTGACGGTGCGACGCCCCGCCCACAGATGGGCACCTGGGATGGTGTTGATGGAGCCCAGCAGCTGCTCCACGTCGGAGAAGTCCAAGGTCTGGTCCTCCAAGGCCGGCTGGGCGGCGAGCTCCACGTCTGTTTTCGTCTCCAGGAACTTCCTGAGTCTGTGGGCATTAAAGGACACACGAGTCGCCGAAACCGGTGTGGCTCAGTGGATAGAGCGTCGGCCTGCGGACCGAAGGGTCCCGGGTTCCATTCCGGTCAAGGGCACATGCCCAGGTTTCGGGCTCAGTCCTCCGTAGGGGGTATGCAGGGAGGCAGCTGATGGATGTTTCTCTCTCATCGATGTTTCTAGCTATCTGTCCCTCTTTGTAGAAACATCAATAAAATATAGCGTGCTGGGCCGCTAGTGACACACGATGAGGGTTCGCTGCTTTGGCGGCTGACCTGGCAGGCCACCAGTGGGGATGGGTGGTCTGGTGTGCGCATGACAGCAGAGGAGACGGGAGACACGCACTGAGCCCCAGGCCCGCACCCTCCGAAGGCCCCTCCGGGGCTGACCTGGGCGCTCCCTGCCCACACCGCCCTGGGCCCGAGATGGACACACGCCTGGGGGTTCCTCTCCACGGGCCATGCGCCCTCGGCGTGCCCGCCGTGCGGGGGGCTCTGCGTCTTCTGTACGCCTGCTTCCTGGCAGCCACAGGCTTTGAGTGCCAGGGGCAGAACTGAAACCAGATCTGTCTTTTTTTTTAATATATTTTATTGATATTTTACAGAGAGGAAGGGAGAGAGATAGAGAGCTAGAAAACGTCGAAACCGGTTTTGGCCAGATCTGTCTTTTTTGCCTGTACTCATGCTATTAACTCTTACACCACTAGGCTTTACCGTTCGTGTTGTTTTTATTTTTATTTATTTATTTTTTTAATATATATTTTATTGATGTTGTACAGAGAGGAAGGGAGAGAGATAGAGAGTTAGAAACATCGATGAGAGAGAGTCATCGATCAGCTGCCTCTTGCACATCCCCTACTGGGGATATGCTCGCAACCAAGGTACATGCCCTTAACCGGAATCGAACCCGGGACCCTTCAGTCCCCAAGCCGACGCTCTATCCATTGAGCCAAACCGGTTTCGGCTCATGTTGTTTTTAAGACACTGCCTCTTTGAACTCCCACAAAACCACCTGTATAAGGAAGGTGGGTCCTAGGCTGGTCGGACCCGCGAGGGCACAGGGAGCGGGAGTGCACGCCTGTCTGACTCTATGCCTGTGTCTGGGTCCTGACAGGCTGGGGACACTCTCTGGATCTCCGTCCCTCCAGGGGTTTGCTGGCTGAGCCTTACTACACACTCCCTTCCTGCCCTGAGAGTCTGAGATTCGGTGCCAGAGGGTCCTGTGACCCCACACCATTGTGCTATTATTTAATCTTCGGGGTTCACACAAAAGCTGAGACTGCGAGTACACAAACAAGGAACAGAAGGAAAAAAAAATACACATGAGAACAAATGCATTACCTGTCGGCCATAGCCACAGCATCCTAAAAAGGAGGAGAAAAGAAGACAATATAAACATATTGAAAAACAGGGAAATTAGCCCTGGCCAGTGTGGCTCACTGGATAGAGCGTCAGCCTGTGGACTGAAGGGTCCCAGTTTGATTCTGGTCAAGGGCGTGTACCTTGGTAGCGGGCATATCCCTAGTAGGTGGTGTGCAGGAGGCAGCTGATCAATAATTCTCTCTCATTGATGTTTCTAACTCTATCCCTCTCCCTTCTTCTCTGAAACCAATAAAAATATATATATATACCTGAAAATTAATAAAAAGAAAAAAAACAGCCATATTCCACTCTCTAACAGTCACTCTAACGCAGCCTGTATAGTTTCTTCCATGTAGCCTTTTTTAAAAATATATATTTTATTGATTTTTTACAGAGAAGGGAGAGAGTTAGGAACATCGATGAGTCATCGATCAGCTGCCTCTTACACGCCCCCCACTGGGGATGTGCCTGCAACCAAGGTACATGCCCTTGACTGGAATCGAACCCGGGACCCTTCAGTCCACAGGCTGACACTCTATTCACTGAGCCAAACCGGTTTCGGCTTCCACGTGACCTTTTCCACATTAACGTTACGCAAGCACTTCCCATGCGATGAATGGTCTCCGGACCATGGCTCTGAGGACTTCACACCAGTTCACTGAACGGGAACTGCACCGTGGATCTCACCGCTCTCCTGCCGGCCACTCTGGCTGGCTCCCATTTCTCTCCATCACACACGGCAGTGGGAAGGGCCGCCTCTCGCGTCTCTCTCTCTCCACCTTCTGGATTACGTCTGGAGACGCAGGGGATTGTGGGGCGAGGGGCCGCTGGTTCGGGTCTGAGCACTGAGGTCACAGGGCCCTCGCCCCCAGCATGGCCAGCAGGAGGCGCTGTGGGGCCGGGCGAAGCAAGGGGACCGATTTGGACTGAGAGGAAATTCCCGCAGCCCAACGGCATCGGGGCGTGGCATCAGATGTAGCTTTCAAGGAAATTAAGAAATGGATTTTTTATATATTTTTTTGGCATGTCTGAGTTCACGAGTTAAGAATTATTTATAATTGCTGCACTTGTGACCAGGACACTGGAGGTGACTTTCCATTTGTTTGGTTTTGTTAATCCTTACCCGAGGATATTTTTCTTTTTTTTTTTTAATGTTAAACTTTAATTAACAAATATGAATGATACTGTACACATAGATCTAGGGCTTAGTAACTTCATAACATGTTTTATTTGTTTATCCTCACCTGAGGATATCTTTCCATTGATCATTTAGAGAGAGTGGGAGCGAGGGAGAGACAGAGAGAAACATCGATGTGAGAGAAACACATCGATTGGTTGCCTCCTGCAGGGCCTGGGCTGGGGAGGAGCCTGCAACCAAGGTACATCCCCTCGACTGGAATCGCACCTGGTCTGCTGGCTGACACTCTACCCACTGAGCCACACCGGCTAGGGCTGGAGGGGACTGTTTAGAACCTGAGAGCCTTCTTCCCAGAACCCCAAAGGATGGCCAGGAAACTCAGAGCACTGCTCTGGCTCAGCCCAAGGAAGAGGGGGTGGGGGACGGAAGGAGGTGGGGGACAGAAGGGGTGGGGAACAGGGGGGGGGGTGACAGAAGAGGGGGTGGCACACACCAGGCGGCCAGGACAGAGGCACGGGGGCCCTGGTGTCACCTGAGCAATGGCGGATGGAAAGCAACAGCTGTGCGTGAGCCCACCTGGCCCCTCGCGGGTGACAACCCCCTGCCACGAACAGCCAGAACGTATGCACCCCTGTGTTCATAGCAGCACAATCTACCATCGCTAGGATTTGGAAACAGCCTAGGTGCCCGTTAGCAGATAACTGGATCAGAAAACTATGGCACATCTACACAATGGAATACTACGCTACCATAAAAAAAGAGGGAATTCTTATCATTTGCAGCAACCTGAATGGAATTGGAGAACATCATGCTGAGTGAAATAAGCCAGTCAATGAAAGAGAAATACCACATGACCTCAAGCATTTATGGATAATAAGGAACATTATAAACCGATGAACAAAAAGAAAGATACAGAGACAGTAAAGCAACAAGCAGACTGTCCAATGACAGCGGGGAGGGGAGGGAAAGGGGGGAGAGATAAGAGATGAACCGAAGGACTTGTGTGCATGCATATAAGCATAACCAATGGACGCAAAACTCTGGGGAGGGAGGGCATGTATGAGAGTGGGGGGGGGGAGCAATGGTAAGATATGTACACAGATACCTTAATTTAAAAATGGAAAAAATAATAAATTAAAATTAAAAAAAATTTTAAAAAAAGAACAGCCAGAACAATCAAACGGGTGCTGACAGCCAAAGTCGATTCCAACACCTCCCGCGGAGAGGGGACCATCTAACCTAACCCCGCCCGCACTGTCATGTCAGCGCACTATTTCATCTCACTTCCCGACTGACCTTTATGAAGTCAACCTTCTCCTCGTGGCAGATCTCCTCGACCGTTTCCATCAGTTCCTTGCAGGTGTCCAGGTTCTCTCCGCAGCTGACCAGCTGACCATACAAGGCTTCCAGCTTCTCCTTCTTCTTCTCCCCCAGAGCGAGTATTTTCTCTTCGTATTTCTGAGCGAGCGTCTCCAAGATCTCGTTGTAGTGGGACTCGAAGTTCTGCTCCTGTCTTCCAAAATTCTCCTGCGGCACAATGGACCCCGGCCGTCATTCCGGTGCATCAGCCATCATTTGGGGCATAAACATGTATGTACCCTAAGGTGACCAGATGTCCCGCTTTTGGCAGGACAGTCCTGATTTTTAACAAACCTTTCCAAAAATCGGGACTTTTTTTAAAACGCTGTGGGACGCGGGACAAGTTGTTAAAAATCGAGACTGTCCCGCCAAAAGCGGGACGTCTGGTCATCTTAACCTATGAGCACCCCCTGGCTCTGAGTGAGTGATTGGGGACAGACATGGAAACTTACTGATCTTTTTTTTTTAAATATATATATATATATTTTTAAAAATATATTTTATTGATTTTTTACAGAGAGGAAGGGAGAGAGATAGAGAGCTAGAAACGTCGATGAGAGAGAAACATCGACCAGTTGCCTCTTGCACACTCCCTACCGGGGATGTGCCCGCAACCAATGTACATGCCCTTGACCAGAATCGAACCTGGGACCTTTCAGTCTGCAGACCGACGCTCTACCACTGAGCCAAACCAGCTTCGGTATTTTTAAAAATATATATATTTTATTGATTTTGTACAGAGAGGAAGGGAGAGAGATAGAGAGCTAGAAACGTCGATGAGAGAGAATCATCGATCAGCTGCCTCTTGCACGCCCCCTACTGGGGATGTGCCCGCAACCAAGGTACATGCCCTTGAGCGGAATCGAACCCGGGACTTTTCAGTCCCCAAGCTGATGCTCTATCCACTGAGCCAAACCGGTTTCGGCGGAAACTTACTGATCTTATGGGAAACGGGTAACAGCTGAGAAAAGGAGCACGAATCAATGACAGGATGGGAGTCTGCAAGACCTTGTCACAGTGGGCCCAGGCAAGAGTCCCGCCTTGTAGCCAAACCGGAGCTAGAAAGAGGCAGGAGACACAGCCTCCCTGCTGAGAGCTTACCTTTCTGTAGGGAGGCTGTCACGTGATGGCTTCCAGGAGGCTGCCGTGGGAACGCAGGGTCAAGGGCAACAGTGACAGCACGTGCTCTAAGGACAGGACTCTCCCCCTCATCCGGGAGCCGCCGCCCCAGACGGTGCTGGGCGCCGCGACGTGTGCCCGACGGGCTCGGCTGCTTGCGCTTACCTCCACCGTGATGAAGACCTCCTCGAGGTGACAGGCAAAGTTCTCCATCTCAATGATCTGCTTTTCCAGTCTGCACATGTTCTTGTGAATTTCATCCTGTCGAACAGAGGAGCGCAAGCCGTTAATGACACATCCTTCCTCTCCCTTACTCCTTGCCTGATTGCTTGAGCAGATGCAGTTATCAAAAGAAAGAAGAGGCACGTTTGCCAAAACCGGTGTGGCTCAGTGGATAGATAGGGCGTCGTCGGCCTGCAGACTGAAGGGGTCCCAGGTTCGATTCCGGTCGAGGGCATGTATGTACCTTGGTTGCGGGCACATCCCCGGTAGGGGGCATGCAAGAGGCAGCTGATCGGTGATTCTCTCTCATCGATGTTTCTAGCTCTCTATCCCTCTCTCTTCCTCTCTGTAAAAAAAAAAAAAAATCAATATATTAAGAGAGAGAGAGAGAGAGAGAGAATGAGGGAGAGCTGCTTACCTTGGCGCTCTCCAGGGCTTTACTGAGCGGGGTCACCTCATGCCCTTTGTGCTCTTCCAGAACCTTCTCCAGCGCTCTTAGGGGAAGCTTGCAGGTGGCGCAGAAGACGTCGGGGGCCTCCTCCTCGTCCTCCTCCTCCGGGATGACGTAGCACTCGTACTCCTCGCTGGCCCGGCCGTGCGCGTACCGGTAGGCCTCCCGCAGGTCCTGGCACTGGCCCTCGGAGCCCCAGCCCCCGAAGCCCAGGTCCTCGGCCTCCGCTGCCTCCCCGCTGAGCCTCCAGTCTCTCTGCTCCGCGGCGGGGTACTCCGAAACCTCTATCCGGGGCATGGTTTCGTCCGCAAACTCGTCCCCTAGCTCGTCGTCGTCCTCGAGGCCGTATAGATGGACGAGCTCGTCCGCGTCCTCCTCGAGGTCTCTCTGGGACGTCCCTCTTGCTGCCCCTCTGGGCGCGCTGGTCATTGCAGCTCGGATGGCTTCTCACCAGACTGTGTCCTGGGAAGATCTGGGGTCTGTCTCCAGAGTCAATGCGAACCTACGGGATGTGGCCGGTCCCGTGCTGGTACCCTCCCCGGCTCCCTCCTCCGTTGCCCGGGCAACCCTGGGCAGCACCGATGCGCGACAAGGATGCTTCCTGGACCGGGAGTAGTGGGTACCCGGGGTCCTAGAACACAAGAGAGAGAGAGAACACTCGTTTCTGAGAAGATAGGTGCAAGGAAGAGGTGGTCATGAGACTGGGCTCATCTCATTCACAATCTGTAAAAACCTTCTGAGCAGCTCAGTTGTGGATTTACTTAGAACCATATGTGGCCCTAACCGGTGTGGCTCAGTGGATAGAGCGTCAGCCTGCAGACTGAAGAGTCCCAGGTTCGATTCCGGTCAAGGGCATGTACCTTGGTTGCGGGCACATCCCCAAGTGGGGAGTGTGCAGGAGGCGGCTGATGGATGTTTCTCTCTCATTGATGTTTCTAGCTCTCTCTCTCTCTCTCCCTTCCTCTCTGTAAAAAAGTAATAAAATATTTTTTTTAAAAAAAAAGATGTGCTTTCTACTGGAGGACTTTTGAATAATGTACACGTTGTAAGGGTGTGCACAAGCAAAAAGTGTTTGAAGACCATTGATCCATGCACCCAGAAAGAATGACCCCTTTTGCCGAAACCGGTTTGGTTCTGTGGATAGAGCGTCAGTCAGCCTGCGGACTGAAAGGTCCCGGGTTCAATTCCGGTCAAGGGCATGGACCTTGGTTGCCAGCACATCCCCAGTTGGGGGTGTGCAGGAGGTAGCTGATAGATGTTTCTCTCTCATCGATATTTCTAATTATCTCTCTCCCTTCCTCTCTGTAAAAAATCAATAAAATAAAAAAAAAAAGAATTACCTCTTTTGTTTAGAGAAGCAGGCTTTCCCCCATTTAACTGAATGTCACAAACAGGGATAGCTAACGGGCAGATATTGGCCGAAATTTCCATCCACCGTATCTGTAACTAACCCGCACAAATATTTTATCAATAACATATTCCTACATAAAACTAGGAATTATGTGAGCTGCTAACTTTATTCCCTGATATTTTTAAAAGCTGACTTTATTGAAATATAATTTACACGCCATCAAATTTACCTGTTTTAAGTGCAAAGTTCAATATCTTTCAGTAAATACCCCCAAGTTACGCAAACATTATCACAATCCAGCTCCTAAGGCCCCCTTTTAAAATACTGTGGTAAACCCAATGGCTTAAAAAAAAACACACACTAATATTATTAAACCACTCCAACATGACATAAATGAAATAGGTTTCGGAGGAAAATAACAACAGGAAAAATAATTTCTAAGATACAGCTTAGCACTTTCTCCCCCTAGCCGTAACTTTTATGCCCAAATAGCTTCTTAGCTAAATATTCAGAAAAAGGAAAAAAGGGAGGAAAAGGAACATTAATAATAAAACGGCATTTTATAAACGGTGATACTGGGACTTAGAGAAATGAAGTAATAAATCACAGTCTATAATGAATATATTGGCTAGATAAACTTCTACTCTCTGTCATAAGCTCCAGTTAAAAATAAAAAGACTTTTGCAAGTCTCCTATGGAAGGTGGGTCTCTGTGCTTTAACCCCAAAAAATGTGGGGGTTTTTTTGTTTTTTTCTTACTTTTTATGGGTCATGATGCCTCTGAGAAGCCACTAAAAGCTGTGAATTCTCTCCCCTGAAGGGAGCCCATAAGGGCACAAACAGTTTTGCTATCTTTTTATTTATTTATTTTTTAAAATATATTTTATTGATTTTTTTTACAGAGAGGAAGGGAGAGGGATAGAGAGCTAGAAAACATCGACGAGAGAGAAACATGGGCCAGCTGCCTCCTGCACACCCCCCACCGGGGATGTACCCGCAACCAAGGCATATGCCCTTGACAGGAATCGAACCTGGGACCCTTCAGTGCACTGGCCGACGCTCTACCCACTGTACCACACCGGTTTTGGCTGTTTTTTGTTATCTCTTTTCGAAGCTCAGCCGTATAACCCGGAGCAATTCCCCAGCCACAGCTACAGACACCTGCTCCGGAGCGTTGCCTGAACCGTGACACAAAATGGTTCAAATCAAGCTTGACAGGCGTAGTAGTCCGAGCCGAGCGCCTTCCATGGGAGGAGGGGGCCTGCGCGGCAGTGAGGCGCGATGACAGTGCTTTTTCTCAGTTGAACCGGAGCAGCGGTGGCGCTGCGCTTTGTCAGCATGTCCACGCAGGGTTCCAAGCTGTTCTAGCGCGCGGACCCCGGCACTAAAAATACCCCCAGGCCGCCTGGCAAGAGAAGCCCCAGCATCCGAGCTGTGGGGGCGGGTCCCTGCCGCGAGAAGGCGCAAAGCATTCACCCCTTCTTGCCGCTCACCCGTCTGCGATGCCCACCCGGCACGATCGCTCCCCACACACACACACACACACAAAAAGGAAATAACGTTGCATGAACACGGTGGCCTTACATTAGTGGGTTTTAATAATGCGATTAGCATTGGCACAGCGCCACCCCCAAACTTGCCTGGGACGTTAAGGGTCCATGAACGCTTCGTGTGGGTGCCGGCACCCGGGGTTCGGCGGTGACCTCTGCGCGCCCGCGGGCCGCCCCTGCCCGTCACACCGGGCTCTGCGAGGGGCCAGCGAGGGCGCCGGCGGCACCAGCTGGCTCCTCCGGCTGCAAATAGCAACCGGCCCGCGGCGAGGGAGGGAGGGAAAAAGGGAGGGAGGGAGGAAGAGCCCAAATATAGCCGTGCCCGGGCGGCCCTGCCACTTCTGCTCGTGTGTCACCGGGAGGGGTCACGTGGGGACCCGGTGGCTGCCGCTCACCGTGGGGATGGGAGGCCCGCGGCTCCACCACGGGACTCGGGCGGCGGCTCACGTGCGGCCACGCGCACGGCTGCTGAGACCCTCGTGCTTTGCACCGTGCACCTGGGCTGAGGGTTTTTTTTTTTTTTTTTTTCTCAAAGCGTTTTGAACAAGCAAGGCTCGAAAGGCAATCGATCAAACGCAACTTGATCTTTCCCTCCGCTGTTCCTTTAACATCTGGTCAGGGTGCGACCGTGTTCCCCACTCTGGATAAAAAAAAAAATCCAGGCAAAACCGGTGTGGCTCAGTGGATAGAGCATCGGCTTGGGGACTGAAGGGTCCCGGGTTCGATTCCGGTCAAGGGCATGTACCTTGGTTGCGGGCACATCCCCGGTGGGGGATGTGCAGGAGGCAGCTGATCGATGACTCTCTCTCATCGATGTTTCTAACTCTCTAACTCTCTCCCTTCCTCTCTGTATAAAATCAATATATATGTAATTTTTAAAAATCACAGGTTTAGCCAGCATCAAAATCTCCCTTCCCCGGGGGGCGTCTCTGGCTGTAACTCTGCCCTAGGAAAGGAGGGATGCGGTGGCCTCTTCTCTCACCCCTCCACCCAGAGCTGCTGGTTTGGAGGTCTGGGCAGAGGCGCTAAGGTGATAAGACAGCTCCTATTTGAGCGGTTGTCACACTGGTGCAGCTGCAGGCTCTGTGGGGCTGGCCGATGCTTAGAGTTCTTTTTTTTTATTTTTAAAAGATATTTTATTGATTTTCTACAGAGAGGAAGGGAGAGGGATAGAGAGTTAGAAACATCCATGAGAGAGAATCATCCATCAGCTGCCTCTTGCACACCCCCCTACCGGGGATGCGCCCGCAACCAAGGTACGTGCCCTTGACCGGAATCGAACCCGGGACCTTTCAGTCTGCAGGCCGACGCTCTATCCACTGAGCCACACCGGTTTGGGCTAGAGTTCTTAAACTTTTTCCCTTTCACGAGGAGCAGCTGTACTTCTCTGGGGTTTCCCACTGCGGACACCTTTCCCCTGACGTTCCCACAGCCGGGCTGACAAACCCTCTATCCCAGGAGGTCCCTGGCGGCCCCCCCGTGAGGTCTGCTCACCCACGCAGCCGGTCCTCTTAGGCAGGACGTTGGTGAGTCCTTTGCTGGCTCTGGCTTCCTGCTGGCCCACGTCTGGAGCTCGGGAAGCGGGCCCATCCTCGGTCCCGGCAAACTCTGGGAAGCAGGTGTCCCGGTGCAGCCACCTCCCCTGGTTCTGCCACGGAGGCAGCCAGTCCTCCAGCCTCGGGCCCCCACTGGCCCACCTGCGGGAAAGACAAGTGAGCTCTCTGAAGACCCCTCACTGAGCTTAGGGGTCAAGGGTGGGTCTTCCGCCCGGCTGGTGTGGCTCAGTGGTTTAGCAGCGACCTAGGAACCAGGAGGTCATAGTTCCATTCCGGGCTTGATTCCCCAGTAGGGGGCGTGAAGGAGGCAGCTGATTAATGATTCACTCTCATCATTGATGTTTCTTTTTTCTTTTTTTAATATATTTTATTGATTTTTTTTTTTTTTTTTTTTTTTTTTTTTTTTTTTTTTACAGAGAGGAGGAGAGAGGGACAGAGAGCTAGAAACATCGATAAGAGAGATACATCGACCAACTGACTCTTGCACACCCCTAATGGGAATGTGCCCACAACCTTGTCCTTGACCGGAATCGAACCTGGGACCTTTTAGTCCGCAGGCCGACGCTCTATCCACTGAGCCAAACCGGTTTCCACTCATCATTGATGTTTCTCTCTCTCGCCCCCTATCCTTTCATCTCTGAAATCAATTGAAAAAATATATTTTTTTTAAAGGGTGGGACTTTCAACTCTCCCTCTCAGCCCAACAACAGCTCTTTTCAGAGAAATTGCTCCACTAATCTCTTGGCTTTTAAAAAAATATATATATATATTATTGATTTTTTTTTTTTTACAGGGAGGAAGAGAGAGAGATAGAGAGAGAAAGAAACATCGATCAGCTGCCTCCTGCACACCTCCTACTGGGGATGTGCCCACAACCAAGGTAATGCCCTTGACCGGAATCGAACCCGGGACCTTTCAATCCACAGGCCAAGGCTCTATCCACTGAGCCAAACCACTTAGGGCACAAGGTTATCTTTTCAGATGGCCCCTGTGCCCCAACCCAAAACACCTAGGTACCCAGCACCCCCTCCCTCCCCAATAGCCCGCTTGAATTGATAACAATAAATCTGTGGCTCGCATCCAGTGGCTGGCGCTCAATAAATAACTCACAGCCGAAACCGGTGTGGCTCAGATTCTCTCTCATCGATGTTTCTAACTCTCTATCCCTTTCTCTTCCTCTCTGTAAAAAAGTCAATAAAATATATTAAAAAAAAAAATAACTCACGTTTAATTTAAGGCTTGGTCTTTCCGGGAAAGCCTGCACCTTTCTTGGGAGCAGCCACTGAAACCTCGAACTTTGAAAAGTTCGCAGTAACTCCGTTCACCTTTGACAGATTCCTTTCCCGTGACGTCAGCGTGTACCAAGGTGTGGAAGGTGCAGCCTGGAGGGAATTCCCCGGCTCCCGACGAGGTTACGTCACAGCCTTCTCATTGGCTGCCGCGGACCCGCCCACTGGGAACCGGCCAATCCCGGACGCCGCTGGAAGCCTCTCAGCCGGCCCACAGCCATTCAGAAGAAGCGCAGGAGGCGGGGCGGAGGGGGGAGGAGGGCGCTGACGCGATGACGGCCGAGCGAAAAATGTCGCTGCGCGGACGGTCCCGTCGTCGAGGGGCTGACAGGCGGCCGGGCCTCTGACCGTCGCGCGCGCCATGGACGACGAGCAGCCCGACAGCCTGGAGGGATGGGTCCCGGTCCGCGAGGCCCTGTTCGCCGAGCCCGAGCGGCACCACCAGCTGCGCTTCCTCGTGGCCTGGAACGACGCGGAGGGCAAGTTCGCCGTGACCTGCCACGACCGTACGGCGCAGCGGCAGCGGCAGCGGCGGCGCGAGGGGAGCGCTCGGCCGGAGGGGTCTCCGCCCAGCTGGGCCGGCCTGCTCTCGGCCGCCGGGCTCCGCGGCGCGCACCGGCAGCTGGCGGCGCTGTGGCCGCCGCTCGAGGGCTGCTTCCCGCCGCTGCCCCCGGAGCTGGAGGCGGCCGGCGGCGGCGCCTGGGGCCTGTGGACGCTCGTGTGGCCGGCGCGCCCGGGCCCCGGCGAGGCGGCGCTGCAGGAGCTGTGCGCGCGGCTGGAGCGCTACCTGGGCCTGGCGGCCGAGGGCTGCGGCGGCGCGGCCGTGCGTGACGCCCTACTTCCGGCCGACGGCGGCGCGCCCGACTGCGAGAGCCCGCGCGCCTTCCGGGAGCGCGCCCTGCGCGCGCGGCTGGCGGAGGCGGGCGCGCGGCTGCAGCAGGTACGCCCGGCGCGCCCCCCTCCGCCCCTCCATCCCCGTTAGTGTCCCTGGACCATTGGAGGGCGACAAGGGGGAGAGGGGGGTGTCTTCCCAGGGACCCGGGCTGCGGAGGAGCAAGTTCATGGTCCGATGTGGGGAACGGGGCGCGGGGTCACCTGCCCCGAGCAGCCAGGGGGAGTCCGCGGGGCGCGATGGAGGTTCAGAGAGAGGGCGCGTGAAGTTAAACGGGAGCGCAGTTTATTTTCTAACCGGTGTCGGGAGAAGCGCTCTCCAACATAGGAAAAAGCCCACACTCAGCTGCAGGCTTGGTGGCACTGTTTTATATATATATATATGTGTGTGTGTATGTGTGTGTTTGTGTGTGTGTGTGTATGTATATATGTATGTATATATGTATGTATATATACGTATATATGTATATGTATGTATATATATATGTATGTATGTATATATAATTGATTTCAGAGAGAAAGAGAAAGGGAGATAGAAACATCAATGATGAGAGACATCAATCTGCTGCCTCCTGCCTGCTCCCTTACTGGGGATTGAGCCTGGCACTCCGGCATGTGCCCAGGAAGTGAATGGAACCTGGGACCCTTTAGTTCGCAGGCCGTCCGTCACTCTAGCCATTGAGCCACACTAGCTAGGGTTAGTGGCACTTTTTAAAATATATATATTTTATTTTTTTTTACAGAGAGGAAGGGAGAGAGATAGTTAGAAACATCCATCAGTTGTCTCCTGCACACTCACCACTGGAGATGTGCCTGCAACCAAGGCACATGCCCTTGACTGGCAGGCGCTCCATCCACTGAGCCACACCAGCTAAGGCTTGGTGGCACTTTTCACCGGAAGAACTGAGAAAATTTATGCACCAGAGAGTTAGCTGGAGGCACCTCTATAATTGTAGCTTCACAAAACCTTTATCATCAGAAAAGCAGCGAAGAAACATCATCCACAATCCACACCCCAGCGATCACCCCTTCATATCTGATGAGTCTTTGGTGTCCTCTTCTCTGAGTATTTTGTGCGCAGTTAAGATAAAATTGTGGACTCTGCTTTCCCCCTGATCTGTCGGGTTTAGAACATTGAGGTGTGTTTAGAATTCTTTGTTTGGCCTGACCTCATCCTGTCCACACCTGAGCTTTCCCTGCACTTTGCCTTCCAGATTCTTCAAGGCCATGAAAGAGCCAACACCATGGTGGCGCTAATGGACGTCTACGGAGAAGAAGATGAGGTGTACCAGGAGCTTGTTACCGTGGCAACCATGTTCTTCCAGTATTTACTGAAGCCGTTCAGAGATATGCGAGAAGTTGCAACTTCATGTAAGCGTGATATTTTGGTATGTTTTCTTTATGTTTTTACTTTATCTGACTTACTGTTTGTCACATATTATTATATTTATTTAGTCACATTTAAGATTCCATCTGTGTTGGCCTATTAAGTTCACCCTTATGTTTGTTTTTTTTCAAATATATTTTTATTGATTTTAGAGAGGAAGGGAGAGGGATAGAGAGCTAGAAACATCGATGAGAGAGAAACATCCATCAGCTGCCTCCTGCACCCCCCACCCTGGGGATGTGTCCACAACCAAGGTACATGCCCTTGACCGGAATCGAATCTGGGACCCTTGAGTCCGAAGGTCAACGCTCTATCCACTGAGCCAAACCAGCTAGGCCTGAACTTCATTTCTTTGTATTGCCAAATAATATTCACTATAAGGAAATACAACTTATCTATTTAACAGTTGATGGACTTTTGGGTTTCCATCTTTGGGCTATTGTAAATAATGCTGTTATGAACATGTGTGTACAAGTTTCTATGTAGATATGTATTTTCATTTCTCTTGCCTAGGAATTCTGGTGTCATATGGTAACTCTGTGCTTAACCTTTGAAGCCAACTGCCAGACTGTTTACCAAAACCAGTGCCCCATTTTACATTCCCAACAGCAGTAAATGAGGTTTCCAATTTGTCCACGTCATTGCCAATACTTGGCATTATGTCATGTTTATTATATATAGCCGTCTGAGTGGATCTGAAGGGGTAGATCATTGTAGTTTTGACTTGTATTTCTCTGATGGCTCACCTGAGTATATTTCTTTACATTATGTAATGTATATTTCTTACATTACTACCGTTGCACGTCATTGCCAATACTTGGCATTATGTCATGTTTATTATATATAGCCGTCTGAGTGGATCTGAAGGGGTAGATCATTGTAGTTTTGACTTGTATTTCTCTGATGGCTCACCTGAGTATATTTCTTACGTTACTACCGTTGCAGGAGAATTGGATTATGTATGACAGAATACATGCCATAATCATGAATGTATAGATTTTACTATCTTTTGGGTTATTTTTTAAATTTATATATATTTTTTATTTCAAAGAGGAAGGGAAAGGGAGATAGAAACATCAGTGATGAGAGAGAATCATTGACTAGCTGCCTCTGCATGCTCCACTCTGGGGATTGAGCACGCAACCTAGGCATGTGCCCGGACCGGGAATCGAAGCGTGACTTCCTGGTTCGTGGGTCAGTGACACAACCACTGAGCCATGCCAGCTGGGCTCTGTTGGGTCATTGTATTATTTTTTCCCTTTAGAAAATAATCATCCTATTGAAAAGCTTCATGTTCCTAAAAGAAACCATAGCAACAGCTACCACTTGAGTGCTGTGTACCAGGCCCATGTTGAGTGCTTAACACAGATCTCATTCAAACTGTGTATTATTATTATTAACAGAGAAACATAACTTGACTGCATTTCTCTTTAGAAAAAAATTATATATTTGAATAATGCAAAGTAAAAGTAAGGTTTTGTGTTCTTTTTTCCTTTATGTCCTAGAGAATCGCTTTGACTTCCAGCCACCTTAAAGCCTGATCATTCTTTTTTAATTTTTTATTTTATTTATTTATTTATTTTTTAAAATATATTTTATTGATTTTGTACAGAGAGGAAGGGAGAGAGATAGTTAGAAACATCGATGAGAGAGAGTCATCGATCAGCTGCCTCCTGCACACCCCTCACTGGGGATGTGCCCGCAACCAAGGTCCATGCCCTTGACCGTAATCGAACCTGGGACCTTTCAGTCCACAGGCCGACGCTCTATCCACTGAGCCAAACCGGTTTCGACAAGCCTTATCATTCTCAATAAGGACTTGCTGAATTGATAAAACTCTATTGGCAGAGTAATAGCAATAAATGTAGTTGAAATAATCCATGCGACCAGTTTCCTTTCACTTTCCCGAAGTCCGCACATGGCTATTCTTTCTTACTTGTGCGATTTCCCGTTCTTTCTACAGAAATCCTTGGAGGAGGACGAGCTGGGTCCTAAGAGGATAGTGGCTCTGCAGAAGGAAGCCCAGGAGTGGGCCAGCCAGGCTGACGAAGCCATAGTCTCTATTCAGGACATCACAGTGAATTATTTTCAAGAAACAGTGAACGCATTAGCAGGTAATCGTTTAACATGCTACACTAACATAGATGCAATTTTCATTTTATTAAAAACAAAACATCTGAGTGTCTCTTTAGTACCAGACACTAGGTCCTGGGGGTCCAACATAAGGCTGCATATTATTTTCTTTATATATATATATATATGTGTGTGTGTGTGTGTATACACACACATATATAAATATAAAAGATATTGACTCTGTAAATATAAATATATATTTATATATATATTGAAATATATATTTACAGAGTCAATATATTTTATTGACTATTTTTTTACAGAGTCAATAAAATATAAAGCATATATTTTATTGACTCTGTAAAAAGTCAATAAAATATGTTTTATTGACTTTTTACAGAGAGGAAGGGAGAGGGATAGAGAGTTAGAAACATCAATGGGAGAGAATCATCAATCAGCTGCCTCTTGCACACCCCTTACTGAGGATGTGCCCGCAACCAAGGTCCATGCCCTTGACCGGAATCGAACGTGGGACCCTTCAGTCTGCAGGCCGACGCTCTATGCACTGAGCCACACCGGTTTCGGCTATTATTTTCTATATGAACAACTGTAAAGCTGCCCCCACCCTACACTGTGGGGTTTTCTTGTTTAGACTATCTCTATCACCTTGTCTGTCTAGAGTAGGGGTGTCGAACTCAATCAGAGAAGGGGCCAAAATCTAAAATCCAGCCTAAATCGCGGGCCGAATGGTTTACTGAACAGTCATAAACTGTCATTGTGATGGAAACGCAGCGGAGTGCGGTGATGACAGCGCGGTGCGGGCCACATTGCAAGGCCTGGTGGGACGGATTTGGCCCGCGGGCCTTGTGTTTGACACATGTGGTCTAGAGGTATATGCACCAAAATGTAAGAAGCAATTACAAGAAGGTGAGATTTGTGATTACTTGCCTTGTTTTTGAAAAACGATCAGATATCTGAAATTTCATACCAAGGACCATGTATTATCTGTGTGATAAAAAAGTCATTCAGCCGAAACCCATTTGGCTCAGTGGATAGAGCGGATTGAAAGGTCCCAGGTTCGATTCCGCTCAAGGGCATGTACCTTGGTTTAGGGGATGTGCAAGAGGCAGCTGATCAATGATTCTCTCTCATCGATGTTTCTAACTCTCTGTCTCTCTCTCTTCCTCTCTGTAAAAAAAAAAAATCAATAAAATATATTAAAAAATATATATTTTTAAAAAGTCATTAAAATAAACTTTCTTTTTAAAAGGATGTTTTGCAGGTAAGATGAGAGGGAATAAAGAATTAGCTCGGACTAAAACTTGCACTTTGTCGTGAGCCGCAGTTAAGTTTCCTTTTCTTCGTTGTGCTCCGCCAGGGATGCAGAAACAGATGGAGCAGGATGAGAAGAGGTTTGGCCAGGCTGCCTGGGCCACGGCAACTCCCAGGCTGGAAAGACTCAAGCTCATGTTAGCTCGGGAGACGCTGCAGCTCATGAGGGCCAGAGAGCTGTGTTTGGATCGCAGAAGAGCCGAGATCCAGGGGAAGGTAAGACCCAGAAAGGTGGCTTTGTTTTAGAAAGAGACACTTCTTTTATTATTTTAAAATAGATATTTCACTGAAACTGGTTTGGCCCAATGGATAGAGCGTCGGCTTGGGGACCGAAGGGACCCGGGTTCGATTCCGGTCAAGGGCATGTACCTTGGTTGCAGGCATATCCCCAGTAGGGGGTGTGCAAGAGGTAGCTAATCGATGACTTTCTCTCATTAATGTTTCTAACTCTCTATCCCTCTCCCTTCCTCTCTGTACAAAATCAATGAAATATATTTAAAAAAATATATATATATTTTTTTTATTAAAAAGAAAATATATATATATATATTTTTTTTTACTAGAGGCCTGGTGTACCATATTTGTGCACCGGGGGTGGGGGGTTCCCCAGCCCAGCCTGTGCCCTCTTGCTCCTTACTGCCTGCCTGCTTGCTGCCTCTTTCACACTGGCGGGAAGGAGAGGGGGTATTTAAAATTAAAGTCTTGCCCTAGCTGGTTCAGTTCCGAGACTGGAGAGGCTCCTGCGCCCGCTGTGCTCGCCAGCTGTGAGCCCAGCTTCTAGCTGAGCGGCACTGCTCCTGTGGGAGCGCACTGACCACCAGGGGGCAGCTCTTGCGTTGAGCGTCTGCCCCCTGGTGGTCAGTGTGTGTCATAGCAACCAGTCAGATTGCTCATCAGTCAATTTGCATATTAGGGTTTTATTATATATATAAGTGGCCCGGTGCATGAAATCTGTGCACGGAGTGGGGGGTTCCTCAGCCCGGCCTGCACCCTCTCCAATCTGGGACCCCTCGGGGGATGTCCAATTGCCGGTTTAAATTGGCAGTCGGTCATCCCTCTCACAATCTGGGACTGCTGGCTTCCAACCGCTTACCTGCCTGCCAGCCTGATCACCCCGCCCCTAACCACTCCCTGCCAGCCTGATCGATGCCTAGCTGCTCCCCTGCTGGCCCGATTGCCCCCAACTACCCTCCCCTGCCAACCTGATCACCCCTAACTGCCCTCCCCTGCTGGCCTGATCACCCACAACTACTGTCCCCTGCCAGCCATCTTGTGGCAGCCATCTTTGACCACATAGGAGGGGTAGCCATCTTGTGCAAGGGCATGAGGGTCAATTTGCATATTACCTCTTTATTATATAGGTTAATGATTGATTCCAGAGAGAAAGGGAGAGGGAGAGAGAAATAGAAACATCAACAATGAGAGAGAATCATGGGTCAGCTGCCTCCTGCATGCCCCCTACTGGGGATCGAACCCACAACCAGGGCATGTGCCCTTGATCAGAATTGAACCCAGGACCGTCCAGTCCGCAGGCCAACGCTCTGTCCACAGAACCGAACCAGCTAGGGCGAGACTTTTAATTTTAGATATCCCCTTTCCTTCCGGCCACTATGAAAGTTTCCTTTCGTATTCCAACACCGTCTTTTGGTTGATGAGAATTTCAGGACCAGGGAAAGATGGCCATCGAGTTTCCCATTGCTCAGATGGTTTTGAAATGCTATGTTGTAAGATTCACTTGATGATAGCATTGAGCTCAGTACTGAAGCAGGCAATATACTTTAAAATGAACATTCTTTTCAGCGCGACTTTAGAATAATCAGAGGTGCTTCATTCCAAGATCATAGTCACTTACGTTTCTTCCCGCGATGTTTGGATGTTAAAGCAGAAAACACTGTAAAGAATTCACTGCCATTTTTCTCAAAACCTGAATGTTTCGTATGTTTCAAGGATGAGGTGAAGAATTGGTAAAAATGTTTAATGGGGCTTTTTTTGTTCCATTAAATGGAATGCAGGAGTGTTTCCTTTCAATTTGCTTTTTCCTATTTGGTACTGAGCCAGGAAGAGAAAGTAGCTCAAATGCTTTCAGTACACTAAATACTTTATCTTGTTCTTATTCTTTTTTCATGTAAACAAGTTGGAAGACCTTCCAGAACAAGAAAGAAATATAAATGTGGTAGACGAACTAGAAATAAAATATCATGAAGTTCAATTAGAACTATATGAGATTCAACTTGAGATACTAAAATATGAAGAAATACTACTGGTTACACAGTTGGACTCTATTAAAAGACTTATAAAAGGTAAAACTTATATTTAAAATATATATATTAAAATGTCTAATAAATTGCACATTCAAGGAAATACCATGTTATCAGTTCTTGTAAATTGTATAAAATATCTGCTGAAATTTCCTAGTTTCCCTTCAGTATTTTTATCATTCAAATAGTAAATAGTATAGTCATTGTTAAAAATACAGCAAAACAAAGAAAGAAAAACCATTATTACCCCAGTTCCATCAGCTAGAAATACTTAATGGTAACAATTTGTTGACTGGCTTGGTAGCCTGATGTATATAAATATCAGTTTTTAAACGACAACTATATATCCTGTTCAGTATTCTCCTTTTTCTTTTAACATATAATCATCGTCATTCCATCTCAGTAGGCAATAAAAATCTTCAAAAATTTTAATGGCTGCATAGTATTCCATTACATGGATATACCAGCTGTGATGTTCAATGTTTCACTGTTGTGAACAGCACAGTAGTGAAGAACCGTTATTTAAACATGTGTTTGTGTTTGTGCCTGTGTATAGGACAGATTATTTCCTTGGAATAAATGTCTAAAGATGTAGTCACTGGGTCAAGGACAATGCAAAATTTCCATTTGACAAATGTGTCAAAACAACACAACAGTCATGTGATATATATTTTTCCTCACCTCTGTTATTTTCCAATTTCTAAATTTCATACTACGTTATGGTCCTCTAGATAGGCTGTACAAAATGACACTCCCATCAGCAGATTATAAAAATACCCTATACTTTCACAATTCGTTTAAATTCTTGCCTAATGGATAGAAAAAAAAAATGGCATGTTCTAATTTTTTAAAAAAATATGTATTTATTGATTTATTTCAGAGAGGAAGGGAGAGGGGGAGAGAGAAAGAAACATCAATGTTGAGAGAGAATCATTGGTCAGCTGCTTCCTACATGCCCACTACGCAGGTATGTGCCGTGACCTCCTGGTTCATAGGTCGATGCTCAACCACTGAGTCATGCCAGCCGGGCATTCTGATTTTCATTTATTCCAGTTACAAGTGCCATTCAATGCAATTTTGTATGTTAACTGATAATATATATATATATATATATATATATATATATATATATATATATATATTATGAAGTGTCTATTCATAGTCTTTGCTAATTTATCTTTGTGTTTCCTTTACATATTAAGGCTATTCCTCTTATGATTTGTCATATATGTTGCAAGTACTCCCTGTTGTTTGCTTTTTCTTGCCTTGCAGAAATATTTAATTTTTACGAAGTCCCATCTATTTATCTTTCTGCTTTTGGCAAATAAACCTATGGTTTCTGCCTTCGGTAGTAGGCCTGGCAAAGTCCTCCTCATCTTGAAATTGTGTCACATTTTACTTATTTTTTTTCTTACAGTATTTTTATGAATTTTAAAGGGACATTTAGCTCTTTAATCCAGATGAAATTCATTATATATATATATATATATATATATATATATATATATATATATATATATTGTTGATTTTTTACAGAGAGGAAGAGAGAGAGATAGAGAGTTAGAAACATCGATGAGAGAGAAACATCGACCAGCTGTCTCCTGCACAGCCCCTACTGGGGATGTGCCCATAACCAAGGCACATGCCCATGTCCGGAATCAAACCTGGGACCCTTCAGTTCGCAGGCCAATGCTCCATTCACTGAGCCAAACTGGTCAGGGCCAGTTTTGAGGTGGGGCAGGAATCTAATGTTCCCCTCCTAAGTTGTTAGCAGTCGCAATCACTGATTTTGAAAACATTTTCCCCTACTGCTTTGACTTGCTGCCTGTTTCATCTAGAATCGTTACCTTCATATTGATCTATTTATAAATTAATTTCCTTCATTGATTTGTGAGTGGCTCTGGTGCTGGCTCCAGACTTCCGGTTGCATCTTGGAGGTCCATTTCGGTGCTTGGTGAAGCACATCCCTGCCTTGTTCCTCTGCTGCTCCACACGTTTTCTGACTGTTCTCCTTTATTCCTCCAGATGAACTTTAGACTCATTTTCACAAGGTCCCAACAAAAAAGGCAAAACACTTGGAATTTTTATTGGGATTGTGCTTAACATTAGAGATTAAATTGGGGAGAATTGTCGCCTTTGCAATTTTGAGTCTTCCCATCCACGAACATGGTATGTCTCTCCATTTACTTAAGTCTTTTTCTCCCTAAAGTTCTTCCAAGTTTTTTCATTTGTTTTTGCATATAGATCCTGAACATTTAATTTAACCCTAGGTATTTAAAAAAAAAAAAAAACCACTTTATAATAGTTTCAGGTTCTAAGCATTTTACACATTTAGGAAAAATTTTTATTTTAAAAAAAAGTTGATCTGGAAGGATGCATGCCAAATTGTGTTTTCCTCTTGGAGGTTGGGAAAGGAAGAAGAAAATTACACTTTTTATTTTATGTACTTCTGTAGGGTTTGATTCTGTTAACAGCATGCATATATTATTTAAAAATCAACAGGTAATCAAGATTGTCTATCATTAAGGCTCCTCAATAATATACTGCTGCCAAAACCGGTTTGGCTCAGTGGATAGAGCATCAGCCTGCGGACTGAAAGGTCCCGGGTTTGATTCTGGTCAAGGGCATGTACATTGGTTGCAGGCACATCCCCAGTAGGGGCTGTGCAAGAGGCAGCTGATCGATGTTTCTCTCTCATCGATGTTTCTAGCTCTCTATCCCTCTCTCTTCCTCTCTGTAATATATTAAAATAATAATAATGATAATAATAATGATAATAATAATAATATACTGCTGCTAGAATGTAAGCTGCCTTTCTGGAGGTCAATTTGACGATAGTTATCAAGAATCTTAAATATTCATCTGCCAGGGAATTAATAAATGGACACAAAGATCTATACTCAGAGATGTTCATCACAGTGAAATTGCCAACAACTGAACATTCTAACAACAGAGACTGTTCAAATTAGAGAATACTGTGTTGCCATTAAAATGATATTTCCATCACATGGAAAATGTTCTTTTAGAGCTGTTTATTGATATGTGTAGCTATGTAACTGATGTGTGTGTGTGTGTGTGTGTGTGTGTGTGTGTGTGTGTGTGTTTCTCCCTGGGTGCTGGGATTACACGTGATCTTTACTTCCCTTACATGTAAAAGATTTTATGCATCATTTTTTATAATAAAACATGTCTTTAATAAATCACTAAATGTGTTTTTTTTAGATAAACAGGATGAAGTTGTCTATTACGACCCGTGTGAGAGTCCAGAGGAACTGAAAGTCACTGACCCTATGAAGGGGCTGCAGGACCATGGGAATGTGGAGATGCAGGAGCTCAGCAGGCAGTGTCGGCAGCTGGAGTGCAAGCGGGGCCGCATCTGCGCCCGGAGGGCCCGTCTCAGGAACAGAAAGGTGGGCACCGCGCCGAAACCGGTGTGGCTCAGTGGGTAGAGCGTCGGGCTGCGGACTGAAAGGTCCCGGGTTCGATTCCAGTCAAGGGCATGTACCTTGGTTGCGGGCACATCCCCAGCAGGAGGCAGCTGATCGATGATTCTCTCTCATCGATGTTTCTCGCTCTCTGTCCCTCTCTCTTCCTCTCTAAAAAAAAAAAAATCAGTTAAATATATCTTAAAAAAATATTGAAGAAAGGTGAGCGCCGGGCGACCTGCTTCCTTTCCCTCCCGGCATTTCTCTGCCACGAAAGATAAAGCGATGGGAAATAAGGCTTTTCCCTGATTTGTGTGTGTGTTGATCTGGATGCCAGTAGCTGTAATTCCAATATGTTTGTGAGTTTTTCTTTTTCTTTTTTTTTCTTTTTTGTGTGAGTTTTTCTTAAAATGATTTTTTTGTTTCTTTGGGGATGTAAGCATTTATCATAATCTCTAGATTTTTAATTCACTCAGCAGCTGTTTGAGTGCCTATTACATACACTGTTTTTTTGGGGTTTTTTTTGTCACAATAAGTAAAAATTCCTAATAAAATTTAGTGTAAATTGTTGATTATAAAATCAGAGATAATATTTAGCTCATTTCAGTCGTCATATTCAGTGATTTTTTTTCTGCATTTAAAAAAACTCCATCCTATATAATAAAAGGCTAATATGCAAATCGATCCAAGGGTAGGATGACTGGTCACTCGGACATGCACTGACCACCAGGGGGCAGACGCTCAGCGCAAGAGCTGCCCCCTGATGGTCAGTGAGCGTAGGTTCACGGCTAGCGAGCGCACAGGAGCACTAAAGATGTCCAACTGATGGCTCAGGCCCGCTCCCCAAGACTGTGAGAGGGTGCAGGCTGGGCTGAGGGACACCCCCGAGTGCACGGATCTCGTGCACCAGGCCTCTAGCAATTGTGTAAAAAGGTAACATGCCAGGAATGGCTAAACATCACTGAAATGTCGTTTTTAATATGATTTTTCAGGTATTTGTAGGTTGCATATGCTTATGTAGGTATGTTTGGAAGTATAATTGCTATTTGTAAAACATGATGGGGAAATGTGCTTTAAACAGCAGAAGTGAAACAGATTCTTGGGGCACATCCCATTTAAGAATGGGGGACCCTTGCATATCCTCTCCTTCTCCCTGGGTTGGAGAATCCCATTTTTCGTCTCTTAAAGCACTAAATCTGTGGCCCTTCTGATCGGGCACCACTGATTCCTGCAAGCGCCCATCAGCTCCTGTCCCAGGGCGGCGGAGGCAGCAGTATCATTGAGCCTCTCCCAAAACTCTTACTCATGAATGAACGCCTTACATGGCAGCCCAAATGCAATGCTTTTTTCTTTTCTTTAAAAAAAAAAAAAATATATATATATATATATGTATATATATATATATATATATATATATATATATATATATATATTTTTTGTTGTTTGTTGTTGTTATTTTTTACAGAGAAGAAAGGAGAGGGATAGAGAGTAAGAAACATCGATGAGAGAGAAACATCGACCAGCTGCCTCTTGCACAACCCCTACTGGAGATATGCCCGCAACCAAGGTACATGCCCTTGACCGGAATCGAACCTGGGACCCTTCAGTCCGCAGACCGACGCTCTATCCACTGAGCCACACCGGTTTTGGCAATGCTTTTTTCTTTTTAACCTTTTATGCTCCAGCCCATGGTGATAGTAAAAACCATGTATGTGATTTGTATTGTCCCACCAGGATCAGTGCAAAGAGCACCATCGGCTCCGACTGCAACAGGCTGAAGAGAGCATCAGATATTTCCATCAGCACCACAGTATTCAGGTGGTGAGTAGTGAAAGAAAAAGGTTTTAGATTTGCATAACGTGACACACTCGCTTCAGTCCGGGGGCGACTCTAGCCCAGTGGTGGTTGGAGGGGAAGATGGTAATGTCGGGTTATGGCCCCTTTCTCTCTCAGGACTTTTATTTTGAGGAATTTACAAATACATCCTTGTTTAAATACAGAAAAGAGACAAGATGAAAGAACAGGAGCAAAAGAAAAAAGAATGGATAAGCCAAGAACGCCAGAAGACGCTCCAACGATTGAGAGCATTTAAAGAGGTAAGTTTCGTGCCGAAACCGGTGTGGCTCAGTGGGTAGAGCGTCGGCCTGCAGACTGAAGGGTCCCGGGTTCGATTCCGGTCAAGGGCATGTGCCTGGGTTGTGGGCACATCCTCAGTGGGGGTTTGCAGGAGGCAGCGATTGATGTTTCTAGCTCTCTATCCCTCTCCCTTCCTCTCTGTAAAAAATCAATAGAATATATATTTTTTTTAAATTAAAAAAAATAAAGAGGTAAGTTTCAGAAACAATCGCCTTGCCTGCATCTTCTGGAGAAATAATTCCAGACCTGTCCTCGGAGAAAAGGATGAAGCACGAACAGAGTTCTCCCCACATGCCATTATTTTCCGTGTACAAACAAAAGCCGACAATATTAGAATATCGCGATGTTTTGACATTGCCACGTGCTCTCCCCTCCTGATGTTATCAGCAGGGAAAACTGAAAAAGTTAAATAACCCTCAACGTTAGCTGGCCTTTCCTCATTTGCAATAAAGAATTCTCTAAAACGCAATCCAGGAAACTGGGTGTCGTGAGCATAGCTAAGAGCTCTATTGCCCTAGTTGTTTGCTCAGTGGTTAGCGCATCAGCCTTTGAACTGAAGGGTCACAGGTTCGATTCCGGTCAAGGCACGTACCTTGGTTGCAAGCTTGATCCCTGGCCCCAGTTGGGGTACGTGGGGGGAGACAACCGATTTTGATGCATCTCTCTCACAAATCAATAAACATATCCTCAGGAGAGGCAGAGAGAGTTAGAAACATCGATGAGAAAGAAACATCGATCAGCTGCCTCCTGCACACCCCGCACTGGGGATGTGCCCGCAACCAAGGTACATGCCCTCGACCGGAATCAAACCTGGGACCCTTCAGTCCACAGGCCAATGCTCTAACCACTGAGCAACACCAGTCTCGGCAAATCGGTATAAGTTTTAGGTGTTTTGGCCCCAAAATAACTTGTCCGGGGTGTGGTGGGAAGGAGTGTGTGTGACTCAGTGGAGGGGAAAGAGCCTTGAGAACCGAGCTGCTTTCGGTTGCATGTGAATCGCTCGGGATGAAGCTGCAGAAAATCTCGCGAGTGTAGGGAGAACAGTGGCACCCTTTGTGGACGGAACGCTGTGTGTACCAAGAAGTGCCACAAGCGGAGGGGACAGAGCCTGGCACACTGAGCCTGAAGCGGGAACAGGACGACCCGTGAATGCATGTGATGTGGCACTTGTGCAGCCAAACCGGTTTTGGCTGCTGCTTGTTTTGAAACGCTTTAGAACAACGTGGGAGAGTCACAAATACTCTGGGCTTCTCATGAATTGTGATTTTGTGTGTGTTTTAAGTTTACAAAATCAGAGTATTTGTGACTCTGATCACAAATACACACACAGAGTATTTGTGACTCTCCCACGTTGTTCTAAAGCACATGTGTCAAACACAAGGCCCGCGGGCCAAATCCGTCCCGCCAGGCCTTGCAATGTGGCCCGCACCGCGCTGTCATCACTGCACTCCGCCGCGTTTCCATCACAATGACAGTTTATGACTGTTCAGTAAACCATTCGACCCGCGATTTAGGCTGGATTTTAGATTTTGGCCCCTTCTCTGATTGAGTTCGACACCCCTATTCTAAAGCGTTTCAAAACACTGTTATAAATAAGGTGTGTATGTTTTTTTAAGTACATTTTTATTGATTTCAGGGAGGAAGGGAAAGGGGGAGAAACATCAATGATGAGAAAGAATCGCTGATTGGCTGCCTCCTGCCTGCCCCGTACTAGGGATTGAGCCCACAACCTGGACATGTGCCCTTGTCCAGATGGAACCGGGACCTTCAGTCCACAGGCCGACACTCTATCCACTGAGCCAACTCAGCTCAGGCTGTTTTTTGTTTAAGTTTATAATAATAGTATCCTGTTGTATACGTCCTAGTTCATTGTAATGGCCTACAGTATTAATATCCTATGTTTGTTTGTTTTTTAAATATATTTTATTGTTTTTTTTTTTTTTTTTTTTTTACAGAGAGGAAGAGAGAGTGACAGAGAGTCAGGAACATCGATGAGAGAAAGTCATCGATCAGCTGCCTCTTGCACACCCCCTACCGGGGATGGGCCTGCAACCAAGGTACATGCCCTTGACCGGAATCGAACCTGGGACCTTTCAGTCCGCAGGCCGACGCTCTATCCACTGAGCCAAACTGGTTTCAGCCTAATATCCTATGTTTTATTGGCTGATCAGTGTCCTCATTAGGGACCTACACCCCTCCAGATTAGTTCTTTGTAAGGTTAGGTTTTTCTTTATCAAATGAACACCTGAGGGGCCAGAATTTCTAAAATTCATATTTTTAAATTGCAAAGTTTAAGCCTAAATATTAGAGAAAAGAAACATCCATAATTCCTGTTATAACTATCATTTTGAGATCCCCTCTACTGGTATTTTTCATAGGTGTGTTTTTTATATGGCTATAAATTTAATAGTGCGTCATCTGTATTTTTCCAGGCTATTTCACAGACTTGGCACTCTTTATGAATTTTGTGTGGCTGCCTAATATTTTAAATTAATTCACCATAATTTTTTCAGCTAACTTCCTATGGTTCATTATTTAGTTTCTGATTTTTCAAGCTAAAAATATTAGGATGAATATTATATGTATCCTCCCATATCTATTTTATTACAGAGAAAGCATTATATGAAAGTATATACATGCTTATTCCTTTTTAAAAATTTTTTTAAAAATTGATTTCAAAGAAGAAGGGAGATGGAGAGAGAAACATCAATGATGAGAGAGAATCACTGATCGGCTGCCTCCTGCACGCCCCACACTGGGGATCAAGCCTGCAACCTGGGCATGTGCCCTGACTGGGAATCAAACTGTGACCTCCTGGTTCATAGGTCGGTACCCAACCACTGAACCACACCAGCTGGGCAAATGCTTATTCTTTAATAGACTTAGTGGTCGCCCAAGTGGGAAGGAGCCGCTTTGTGAACTAGAACAATCCATGCCTAGGAACTCTTCGTGTTCAATGTGGTCGGCAAACCGCGGCTCTCGAGCCACAGGCGGCTCTTCGGCCCCTTGAGTGTGGCTCTTCCACAAAATACCCCGGACCTGGTTGAGTCTATGTTGAAGAAGTGGCGTTAGAAGAAGTTTAAGTTTAAAAAATGTGGCTCTCCAAAGACATTTTAATCGTTGTACTGCTGATATTTGGCTCTGTGGACTCATGAGTTTCCGACCACTGGACTGTAGACAGAGTCCCGGCATGTTGATGGTTTGCATTGGTGGCAAGTTTCTCACCACGGTTTTCACTTCCAGAGGTGCCCCGGTCGGTCTGCACCCAAAACCCCTCGCCCGGAACCCGAGGCTCCACACCTGCCCCCGCCGACCCCATCCCCGGCCTCCCAGGGAAAGGCGCTCGTCCATCCGTCCTCCAGGAAAACCAGAAGTGCTCCCTCCCGCCAAGCTAGCAACGTTCAAACCCCCAAGTGCAGAGACTGTCCCGGGACCGTCCCCGTCCAGATGGCTGTCCCAGCTGGTGACCAAACCCACTCCAAACCCAGCGAGGAGCCGTCCCTGCCGCCCCCACCTCCTCCCCCGCCGCCTCCCCCTCCTCCCCCGCCTCCCCCTCCTCCCCCTCCGCCTCCGCCAGCACCTCCGCTCCCGGCTCCGTCCTTTTCTCCTCCGTCCGGGAATCATCGGAGTTCACAGCTCAGGACCCCAGCGCAGGATGACCAGCCGCTCCCTCTGGTGTGTGACTCTCCTGCTGAGAGGCGGCCGGACCCCTCAGGCCCTTTCCAAGGCCCAGGTAACTACCCTCGGGAGCTCTGCGCCCGCGCCCGGGGCCTGGCTGAGCGGCTGGCCATTCTGGCTGAGCAGCCATCGTCTTCAAGTCAAACTCTTTTCCTGAATTCTCCGAGATCTTAAAATAGTCCGGAGCTTGCTGCCTTAAAGGTTACCTGTTTTGGGGGAAATTAGCATAGCCTAAATCAGTTTGATAAACGCTACCTCACCTGGAACAAACATACTACGCTTAATGGTCACATGACTTGGGATCTCTGTGGCAATTTAAAAAATATATATATATATTTTATTTTATTTTTTTTACAGAGAGGAAAGGAGAGGGATAGAGAACTAGAAACATCGATGAGAAAGAATCATCCATCAGCTGCCTCCTGCACACCCCTCACCGGAGATGTGCCCGCAGCCAATGTACATGCCCTTGACCGGAATTGAACCGGGGACCCTTGAGTCCGCAGGCCCGACGCTCTATCCACTGAGCCACACCGGTTTCAGCCATTTCCGGTTTCTTAAAACTTCAGTGTGTGTGTGATTTCTGCTACTTGCCCATTATTCACGTTGCTTTGAATCACACACACTGTTGCCCCCCGGAAGCCTTTACAGAATAGACTGTGGCATCTTTTTTTAAAAAAAATATATATCCATTGATTCTATGGAGGGAGGGAGAGGGATAGAGAGAGAGAAACATCAGTGATGAGAGAGAGCCATGCACGCCCCACACTGGGCATCGAGCCGCAACCCTGGTATGAGCCCTGCCCAGGAACGGAACCGAAACCTCCTGGTTCCTAGGCCGACGCTCAAACCACTGAGCAACACCAGCCGGGCGCAGCAACATCGTTTAAATGGGGACGGCACGCGTGCCGGCGCCTCGCCTGGAGTCTGGCTGTGGGCGCCTCATTCCAGCCTGGGTGCAAGGCACACAGTTATCTGTTCAAGTATCATTATTTTTTTAATCCTCACCTGAGGATATTTTTCCATTTGGTTTTTAGAGAGAGAGAGAGAGGAAGAGAGAGGGAAAGACAAGAGATATTGATGTGCAAGAAACACATTGATTGGTTGCCTCCTGTATAAGCCCCGACTAGGGCCCTGGCCAGGGAGGAACCTGCCACCGAGATACATGCCTCTTGACCGGAATCGAACCCGGGGCCCTTCGTTCCGCAGGCTGATTGCGCTACCCACTGAGCAACCCGGCCAGGGCGAAATAGCATTCTTTTTAGCCATCCCTCGGCCTCAGTCCTGAACTAGAAACGACTCTTCATCTTGAAGCCTTCCAGGAGGGGCCCTGCAGGGTGGCCCCAGGCGGCCCCTCTCCCCAGCAGGTGGTCAGGGACCTCCCCAGCGCCCAGGGTCCCACGGGGCCAGAATAAAAAATAAAAAAAAAGCTTCCACTCCCCAAGGCTCTGGAACTCTGATCTAATCTGTATTTTGACAGCACGTCACGCCCTCGAGAACGGAGCGTGTATAAGCTACCTCGGGGTGACGCGGGTGGGTTAGAGACGCCGGGCTCATTGAGCTGCTGATGAAAGCTTTCCTTCCAGCCTTTCCTTGTGTGAAAACCTACCCGCTTCACCGTCACCCTGACTCCTTAGTCATCGCTGACTAACAACCAGAACCCAAGTGAGAGAATCAGAGCAGGGCTCGTTTTTTTAAAAAAATAGATTTCTCTCCAGGTGAGAAGGCAGAGGGAGGAAGGAGGTGGAGGTGCAGAAGTATCTAAGTCACTGCCCGTGGGATCCGATGGTTTTCCCCCAGCAACCATCCGAAACCCCTAGTAGGGGTGTCGACCTCAATCAGAGAAGGGGCCAAAATCTAAAATCCAGCCTAAATCGCGGGCCGAATGGTTTACTGAACAGTCATAAACTGTCATTGTGATGGAAACGCAGCGGAGTGCAGTGATGACAGCGCGGTGCGGGCCACATTGCAAGGCCTGGCGGGACGGATTTGGCCCGCGGGCCTTGTGTTTGACACATGTGCCCTAAGGATTGCACGCCGGTGTCACAGCCTCCGTTCGCACCAAAGGCGTGCGCGGCGGGGCTGTGAGCTGTCAGTGGTGCTCACGATAAAGCATCGAGCGATCGAGCCAAAACCGGTGTGGCTCAGTGGATAGAGCGTCGGCCTGGGGACTGAAAGGTCCCGGGTTCGATTCCGGTCAAGGACATGTACCTTGGTTGCGGGCACATCCCCAGTGGGGGGGGCGGGGTGCAAGAGGCAGCTGGTCGATGATTCTCTCTCATCGATGTTTCTAACTCTCTATCCCTCTTTCTTCCTCTCTGTAAGAAAATCAATAAAATATATATTAAATTAAAAAAAAAAAAAAGCATCAGCGATCGAACTATCCCCGATTCACGCAGGGAGAGCACTACTGCTTACAGGGAAGGGTGATCGTCCGTATGAGCCATGGCGTTAACTGTGTGTGACCTGGCACCTTTAACACATCCAGAAACGCCTTGGCAGCTCGGGGGAGAGAATGGCTTCCTTTTTTAAAAAAAATAATATATTTAATGGATTTTTTAACAGAGAGGAAGAGAGAGGGACAGAGAGCTAGAAACATCGATGAGAGAGAATCATCGATCAGCTGCCTCTTGCACACCCCCCACTGGGGACGTGTCCGCAACCAAGGTACATGCCGTTGACCGGAATCGAACCCGGGACCCTTCAGTCCGCAGGCCGACGCTCTGTCCACTGAGCCACACCGGTTTCGGCAGAGAATGACCCCTGACGCCGCCCGCTCTGTCTGCCCCGTTGCAGGGTCCATGGACGAGGTGCTGGCCGACCTGAGGCGCGGCAGAGCCCCGCTCCGCAAGACGGAAGTGCCCGCCCGGGCCCCTCCCCGCACCTCCCTCAACGAGCACATCCTGGCGGCCATAAGGCAGGGCGTCCGGCTGAGGAAGGTCCACCCGGACCGCGGCCCCGGCCCCAGCAGCAAGCCGGCCAGCGACCTGGAGGACAGCATCAAGGCCGCGCTGCAGAGGATCCAGAGAGTGTCTGCCGACTCCGAGGAGGAGGAGGAGGAGGAGGAGGAGGAGGAGGGGGAGGACGGGAGGGAGGAGGGGGAGGAGGGCAGCCCTGGAGAGTGGGACCACTAGCTCTTCTCCAGGCCGAGGATCGGAGTGAGGCCACGGCGCCAGGCCTGCTGCTGACCAGCACGTAGACAGGGACGCGTGGCCGGGGGACACGAGGCCTGCAGGGCCGGCTGTGGCTTCTGGAATCCAGGCAGCGGGGAGGCGGCTGCCGCACACACCGGACCCGGGTCGGGATCTGAGGACCCGTAGTGAGTGTCGCCGCCGGCAGCGAAGGACGGGAGCACGACTGTTCACCGCTTTGCGGATGTTCTAGATCACATGTGTCAAACACAAGGCCCGCGGGCCAAATCCGTCCCGCCAGGCCTTGCCATGTGGCCCGCACCGCGCTGTCATCACTGCACTCCGCTGCGTTTCCATCACAATGACAGTTTATGACTGTTCAGTAAACCATTCGGCCCGCGATGTAGGCTGGATTTTAGGTTTTGGCCCCTTCTCTGATTGAGTTCGACACCCCTATTCTAGATCGTTCCCTCGTTGGAGAACCGTTCACACGACGGCGGTGTGCAGTGAGCAGCACTAACAGACCACTGACCGAGTCCTGGGCGCGCGCCGAGTGCTGTCCTCAGATCCAGAGGTTGAATGTGAGCATTATTTCAGCAATAATCAATAAATGGCTTGTACTTAGGGAATATTTTCTCAGTGAAATGTATTTTACGTATCGAGCACTCCATAAACTCGTAATAAAGGACTATTTATAATGTATCATGTCACTCATAGGATTGAAAACAGCTAGCGTGGCCCAGTGGCTGAGCATCGACCCGTGAACCGGGGGGTCAGGGCACGTGCGTGGTTGTGGGTTCGATACCCAGTAGGGGGCGTGCAGGAGGCAGCCGATCCATGCTTCTCTCTCATCATGGATGTTTCTCTCTCTCCCCCTCTCCTTTGCTCTCTCAAATCAGTACACACGTTTTTGTGTTTTTTTTTAAATGAAAACAGGAATTCGTAACACATGAGAAGCACAGCCTTCCATGTGAGTGTGGTCGAGTGTTGCTATTAAAGTTTTTTAATAAGATTTCAGTAAATACTAAGGGGGGGGGTGTTATTCCCTCAAAACTGAAAACTCATGCTGGAATCCTTCTCCCTGCTTTGTGTTAAAATTGGGGGAGGGGCTCTAACCGGTGTGGCTCAGTGGATAGAGCGTCGGCCTGCGGACTGAAGGGTCCCGGGTTCGATTCCGGTCAAGGGCATGGACCTTGCTTGCGGGCACATCCCCAGTGGGGGGTGTGCAAGAGGCAGTGGATCGATGATTCTCTCTCATCCATGTTTCTAACTCTATCCCTCTCACTTCCTCTCTGTAAAAAGCAATAAAATATATATATATAAAATAAGGGAAACTTATCTTTCAAAAAAAAAGGGGGGGGGTGGGCTCTTTTCAAACATTCTCCCAATTAAACTTTCTGACCCCATGTGTCGGGAACCAGAGCCAAGGAGAGGGGACAGCCGGTCACCTGTTGCCTAGCTCTAGGCCCCTCCTCTCACCCTCCACATGCTGTCCATCAAACTCCGCCCCTCCTGTCTTGGGGTCCCTCCTGCCTGCCCCTAAGGCCCTGCGGACTCGAGTCCCTAGGAGGCCCTCTGCCTGCAGATCCCGGCACCCCCACACCATCCTTCAGTCTGAACCCCATGCTTTCCCGCTGTCCGGAGTCCCCCCCCGCCCCCTCGTTCTCCTCCACGACCACCTTGTCCTGGACTCCGGTCACGCTGCCTCCCCACCCACAGCCCTGGCTACGGGGGGGGGGGGCAGGCAGCTGGCACAGCCAGTGTTACCCCCTGGGTCTGCCCCTGGGAGAACTCGCCCATGGCTGCCAGCATCACATCGATCCGGGCCACTGGAGTCACGTTCTCGCTTGTTCTCTCTCCGGAGGGGAACAAGGGAGGGGAGCGGGTGGCAGCACATGCTAGGGACACGCGTGTCTCATGAATGGCCTCCCGTCGCGTACACTGCGTCGTTCAGGGAATGCGTACAACGCGTTTCCGGCGTGTCAGCTCACGTGAGGTGTGTGTGTGTGTGTTCCTTTTCTATCGCCGCCACCACAAAATCACAGGCTCAAAACCACACCGGTGGCCCACCATCCAGAACTGAAACACCACGGCTGACATGTACACAGAAGGAACTGTTTGACATGGAAATGGGGTCTCAAAACTGTTGGCCCAGAAAGAAACTCACTACACACTGATTCATATGCTTCTCAGCATAACCATTACTGCTTGTCTCATTTTTGGTTCTTATATTTCCAGTAGGACATGATCTCACGCATCTGGGGCAAATGGCGAACAACATAGACGGAGGGACAAGAACAGACCCAGGCCAAAACCGGTTTGGCTCAGTGGACAGAGCATCAGCCTGTGGACTGAAGGGTTCCGGGTTCGATTCCGGTCAAGGGCATGGACCTTGGTTGCGGGCACATCCCCAGTAGGGGGTGTGCAAGAGGCAGCTGATCGATGACACTCTCCCATCAATGTTTCTAACTCTCTATCTCTCTCCCTTCCTCTCTATACAAAATCAACAATATATATATATATATATATATATATATATATATATAAAAAAAAAAAAAAAAAAAAAAAAAGAACAGACCCAGAGACAAGGAGCTGTGGGTCAGACTCTCGGATCCCAGAGGGAGGGTGGGGATAAAAGGGAGAGATCAGCCGGGACCAGTTTGGCTCAATGGATGGAGCGTCGGCCTGGGGACTGAAGGGCCCCAGGTTCGATTCCGGTCAAGGGCATGTACCTTGGTTGCGGGCACATCCCCGGTGAGGGGTGTGCGGGAGGCAGCTGATCAATGACTCTCTCTCATTGATATTTCTAGCTCTCTATCTCTCTCCCTTCCTCTCTGTACAAAAATCAATAAAATATATATATAAAAAAAAAAAAAGGGAGAGATCAGCCAAAGGACGTATGTGCACACATATGAGCCTAACCAGTGCTCAGGGACAACAGGGGGGTGGGGGCATCCATGGGGGAGTGGGGGTGGGAATGGGGCATTGTGGACAAATATGTGATACCTTAATAAATTAAAAAAACAAAACAAAAACACACACATTGCTTTAGCATCCTACCTTTCTGCAGGTCCAAGGTCCGCGTGGGTCCCAGGGGCTGCTCTCCAGGGCTCGGCAGGGCTGCGTTCCTTCCGAAGGCTCCAGGGGGGGGGGGGGGGGGGCGCCGTTCTCTCGCCTTCCCTTTCCCGGGCTGCGAGGCCGCCTGCTTCCCTCGGCTTGTGGCCCCTTCCTCTGTCTTCCAAGCCGGCGACATCCCATCTCTCGGACTCTCCTTCCATCGTGTCCCTCTGGGACCCCCGTCGGGGAAGGTTCTGGGCCTTTAAGAACTTGTGCCATCAGACCGGGCCCGCTCGCGCAGGCGGATGCCCACCCGTCGGAGGGGCATAACCGTCCTCTCAGGCGAGGGCCCTTCTGCCAGGGGAGGCAACGGGTCCCAAGGTTTCAGGGATGATGGGGGGGGGGTCTGGGCATGTTGGAGGGGCCGTCGTCCTGTCTAGCACGAGGAGACTCTCTGACACTGCAAAGGTCTGCATCCAGGAGCTTTTTTCAGAGGTGGGCTGGAAACCGCCGCCCTGCAGACCATCCTCACAGCCCTGGCCGGTGCGGCTCAGTGGCTAGAGCTTCGGCCTGCGGACCAAAGGGTCCCGGGCTCGATTCCGGTCAAGGGCGTGGACCTTGGTTGCAGGTTCCCGGCCTCGGTCGGGGTGCGTGCAGGAGGCAACCAATCAGTGTATCTCTCTCACATCGATGTTTCTCTCCCTCCCTCCCTCCCTCCCTCTTCCACTCTCTCTAAAAATCAATGGAGCCGAGGCCGGTGTGGCTCAGTGGTTAGAGCATCAGCCTGGGGACTGAAAGGTCCCAGCTTTCATTCCGATCAGGGACATGGACCTTGGTTGCGGGCACATCCCCGGTAGGGGGTGTGTTCAGGAGGCAGCTGATGGATGTTTCTCTCCCATCGATGTTTCTAGCTCTCTGTCCCTCTCCCTTCCTCTCTGTAAAAAAAAAAAAAAAAAAAATCAATAAAATATATTTTTTTAAAAAAATAAATAAAAACCAATGGAAAAATATCCTCGGGGGAGGATTAAAAAAAAAAAAAAAAGAGCCGTGTATGTGTGTGTGTGTGTGTGTGTGTGTGAACTGAGCTACATAAGAAGCTGGAGAGAAGTCCTCTGGGCCTAACAAGAGGGATGAGCCCGGGACCCTGTGGTCCTCAGGCCGGTGCTCTATCCACTGAGCCACACTGGCCAGGGCTGTGAGGATGGTCTGCAGGGCGGCGGTTTCCGGGCTGTCTGGGTTTCCGGCCCACCTTTGGATGAGGTGGGAGCAGGCAAGGCTGTTGGGCAGTCGGGGAGGCAGGAGCTGGGAGCGACCCCAAAGGGGACGACCCCAAAGGCAGGCCTGGGGGTGGGGGTGGGGGGATGGGGAGGAGGTGAAGGACGGAAACACGGGGCTACAACCTGATCCGTTCCAAGCTTTGGGAAGAGGGACCGGAAGGTGGAGGAGATCCTGAGTGAGGGGACCAGGGGGAGGGAGGGGAGGATGATGGAGGGAAGAGAACGTGGCGCCCGGAGAGAGCAGCACAGGCTGTGGGACTCACCGTGCACAAGGCAAGTCAAACCGCCCTCCCCTGGAACCTCTGCTGCCCGGCGGCCAGGGATGGCTGGGGAGAGGCCGGGACCCCCGCACGGGGGGGGGGGGGGGGGACGACTCTGCGGCTCAGGAGCCTCTGAGGGCTCCGTTACTACGGAGCAGCAGGTGGAGGGGAGCAGCAGGGCCGGCTCAGCAGGCACAGCCCCTCCCCGACACCTTGGAAATAGATACGCTGCCCAGAAGCTTTGAGGACTCTCGCCTTTGGGGAAAAGGAAGGTGTGGAGGGTTCCAGAGCTGGGCTGAGACCCACTTGCATGAGGCTGATAGAAATGGGGGCTCAAAACAGACATGAACTTGAGTGACGGGAAAATAGAGAAACCCTGCAGACAGCCCTGGCCGGTGTGGCTCAGTGGCTAGAGCGCAGGCCACTCCGGAGCTGTGGGAGGGCTCTAGCGGCCGCTGCCTGCGCGGGTTTGGGAGGGGCTGGTCCTCTGCCCGACGCAGCCTCGGCCACGAGCATCCTCTGTCCCAGAGGGGGCTCTGGAAAGCTCTCTGTCCACGTTCCCGGGGTTAGCTTTTCCCTGGAGAGCCAGGAACGCAGGCACACGCAGGGAGAGGAGAAGGGCCTCCCGGGTGGAGAGAAGTTTTGGGGTTGTCCCCAAGGGGGGCAGAATGCTAGAGCTGAAGGACAGGTGCCCCCTAAGCTTCCCTGAGCCATGCCCAGCCCCAGTGCAGGAGGAGAAGGTACACACTCCAAA